TCAGCAACATTTTACTAGTTAGCCACTTTTTGATATCTTTCACAGTAAATGAGATATATAGGCTCAAAGTGGACGGTCCGGGTGTCGTTCTATTAGAGGTTTTACGGTATTTCCGACTTTCGAAAGACACACGTTTTCAGTACAAAACGGGCCATAAAGGGGTTTCTTTCAGAAAACGGCAAATAGCTGAATAATTAGGGATTTTCACAAAATTCTGTGAATGCAAAGTTTTCTGAGAAATCTAGGCCTGTTTTACATCCTTCAAAATTTTCAAAGGAATCGGAACTTTTCCATCCGAAATACAGACTTTTGAAAATAGTCAAAATGGCCGAAAATCAATTGAAAATACGTTATTGTATATCTTATTGGCTGGTACTTTACCTTAACCAGAGTCTATCCTAAATTAACAATTCAAGGAGTCTTCTGTGATTACAAAAATTGTGAAACAGAAGAAATTTGAAAAATTTCGAATTCTTCCCAATTTCCAATTTTTCTGTTCCCGAAATAACAATTTTTGTCTCAAAATTTTTCTGTTTTATCACAATGTTTTTTCTCTTCACTTTTAGCTATTTTCAGTCATCTTCTTTTCTCGGTATTACAAATAAACATGCAAATTTGCTCCACTGAACCACAAACTTGGTTTCTATTTGTTTGTTTGTTTGTATTCTTTGACGTTTCCTCTCTTTTCCTCCTTCTCTCTGCGTCTCTTCCTATTTTATGTCAAATTTTGTCATTTGGTCTTCTTGACGTTATTGTTGTGCAATTTTTCAGCTTTTAACCGAATTTTTTTTTCAGATTTTCCAAAAAAATGGTTTCCCTGGAAATTATGTATTCTGATAAGGTTGGTTTTTTTTTAAAAATTCAATATTCCAAAAAAAGTATTTGTTTCAAGTGGCTGATGAAAAGTGCTGCTGAATTTGAAATGTCATTTTCATATACTCAAAAGAATACACAAAAAATCCAAAAATCGATATATTTTTTGCAGATGGCCACAATCCGAAAATCGTCGTCTGAAAAAATCAGTTTACAAGAGGAAAATGATGTTTCGGATAAGGTTTTTGAGTATTTGGAGGAGAATTTTGTCAAGAAAAATGATGTAGGAATAGAGAAGATTTCTATTTTATTGGTGAGTTTTTTTTTCAGAAAAAAAATCTTAAAAACCCTGTTTCAAGAAGTCTAAAAGATCTAATAGCGTTCAGTGAACTCCGATATTGTTTTTAAAAAATGGCTTTCAAAAACCCTCCAATATTTGTTCCAGCTGTCGTACACGAACCCTCCAAAACTCCCAAAAGGAATTCGATGCAAAAACTGGGAGATCAAATGTGAATCTCATCCTCCATACGTCACGAATCTTCTAGAATCGATTCCTTTGAATTCTGATTTCCTGAAAATTGAATCGGAGTCATTTGGGACGGGTCGGGATTTGCTCAACAAATGGGAAAAAATGGAACAAGTGAAAACGGCCAAAGAAAACATTTTCGAGATGAATATTCACTGAAATTGCTGTGAAAATTTTAATTTTTGACAAATGAAGATGATTTTTTTTTAAACTTTTTCTTCTAGACTTATGTTCCAAGCAACCGACCATACAACCATTTTAAAATCGCAATTTAAAATTGTTTTTAGTAATTGAGAACGGCCATAGACCTATTAATTTTTCATTCAATTCTTATCAAAAAAAAAAAGATTCTGAAACTTAATTTTTTTCGTGTGGTCTAATTAATATTTCAAAGCTACTCAGCCATAATATTAGAATTTGCATTTATTATGACAACTTTATCAATTAACTTTCATTTTTCTGGTTCCATCAACCTTTTCATCAACCTATTATAACAAACTTTTGGAAATATTACAGAATTTTTTTCCAAGTTTTTTTCACATTCTTTTTTTCACATTCTTTTTTTAGTGGGAACTTTAAAAAATCGGCATTCCCTCGGAGAGTTGTTTTTCAACTTTTAGATTCAAAGAAATTATTCTGAATTTCTTTTTGATTTACATGAATTTTCGGAGTGTGGATCGAACATTTACTGCTTCATAAACGAAATATTGGAAGGACTTAAATCTCAGCATCAGTGGCAGATGTCTTCTAAGGGTCCAGAGTGTGCATTTTTGCGTGGCGGTGTACAAGGATCGGTGTTTACACTTTTTTGAAGCTATCGTGCCATTTTCTTGAACAGCGACGGTCAATAATATGATACACGAAAATGTATTTTTCAATTAATATATGGCATTTTTAGGAGTCTGGAGCTGTCAAACTTATTCCTAGTTTTTCAGCTACTTGGCGATTTCTGAAGAATTCTTTTTTGGCTAGTCATTTACTGAAAACGTGTGTATTTCAGAAATCGTCGAATAGCTGATAAAGTGGAATATTTCATGGAACTCTGCAAATGCAAAGTTTCTAATATAGGTCTGTTTTACAGCCTCCAAAGTATTCAAAGTGGTCAGGAACCTGACATCCAAGCTCGAGACTTCTGAAACTGCCTAAACCAACTGAAAAATGCGTTTTTGTAAATCTTTTTGACCGATCCTGTATGAGAGATCGGTCGCACAACTCGATTCAGTCTCAGACCGGAGATTAGTCATACGCGATTGAATTAAACCAACTGTCGGAAGGAGCGGCGCCAGGATCCGCTAAAGATCAATCAAGAGAAGGAGTCAGGAGGAGGAGATGAGTTGTAACAAGAAGAGAGCGTGGATAAGAAGAGAGGAGCAAAAAGAATCTGTCCAGAAAAAAACATTTATTCATTTCGTTTCTCGATTCTCAAGAAACTTAGTATTTTGAATTTTCTCGGATTTTTTGCTAAAAGAATACATATTGAGCCGAGACTTCATATTTCTGAAATAAACTAAAAAACCAAATGTACAAAAAAAAACGATCATAAACAATTTTCATTTGTTTAGAAGTATAACTTTTCGGTAGGCGTTTCGTATCAGCATTCAATAAACAGATTTTGACTTTTGACCTAGAAAAGTAAACTTTTTCAGTATAAAAGAGCCGGTCTAGAAAGAGTCGAGCACCCAAAATGCGACTGATTTGCCTTCTGTTTCTACTCATTTCGCTTCTGGAGTCAGCTCCAAGTACTTCAGAATGCAAATACGAATCCTTCAAGGCTAAAACGTGTCTAAAGGTGGGCAAGCTTATCAATTTGAGATTAGCAGGATTTTTATTACTTTTTTCAGTTCATCACAGCTGACGTCGAGAAGATTGGTCCCAAGGAGGAATTTGACGCAAAAAAGTCGAAATTCCAAGACTTTTTCACTTGTCTCGGAGAACCGAAATGTGAACACTCACGAATGCTTCTAAAAATAGAGAAGACATATATGGATATAATGGAGAGATTCAGCGAGATTCATTCATGTCTTGGAAATGTAAATGAGCTTTTGAAGTAGCTTTTTTATGCGGGAAAAATCGGAAATCACTAGAGTTTCTAAAATTCAGAAATTCTAAAATTCCCTAATTCTTTAATTGTAAAATTCTTAAAATTGAAAATTCGGAAACGTTCGATTTCAAAGACTCAAAAATTCGGAAACTCAAAAAGTCAGAAATTCAGTAGTCGAGAAATTCAAAGATTCGTAAATTCGGAATTTCGAAGATTTTCAAAATTATCAAATTTCCCCATTCTCAAATTGCAAAAATCAAAAATTCAATATTTTGAAAAAAAGTTGAATTTTTGAAAAGTTTGGAGAAATATGAAATTTCTTAAATTTGAAAGTTTTAAAATTTTTAATCTTAGGAAACTCAAAAATTCAGAAATTCAGTGATCAAGAAACTGGAAAATTTAGAAATTTTTGAAATTGGAGAACTTGGAAATTCTCGAAAAAAAAAATCAGAAATCCGGTAATCATGAAATTCGAAAATGGGATAAACCAGAACCTCACAATTTAAAATCTTTATTTTGAGAAATTATCAATTTTTTTCAAAATTAGAAGATTCTGAAATTCAGAAATTCCAAGTTTCAAAAATCCTGGCTTCCAGAATTTCAAAGTTTAAAATCCGGAAAGTTAGCAATTCTGATAAATAGAATTTCATAGTCAGATATTTACTTTTGAGAAATTCAGAACTAGTTGAGGCGAGCCACCTCCTTGCCAACAGGTTCAATTTCTCGACGGGATTCTTCCATTAGCCAAATTTTTAGACGCCTATTTTTTGCAGAGAACCTACGAACGACACAAGCACACATGTAATTATAAGGAGAAACTTTTGAATCGAAAGGACCCCAAATTCGCCGAATGTATGATTGAGAAAGTTGGAAAAGATGAGAAATGTAGTTCTGCCGACTTTGAAAAGTTCAAGGAGAGCATGAAATTGATGCCAGGGATGTTCAGAATGATGAGTGATTATAAGGAAAAACGAGACGAAATCGAAAAAATGAGTGATAAGAAAAATGATAATTAAATTGAAATGCACATTGATTTTTAAAATTCAATAAACGATGAATATTCATAAGTTTTGGAGGTTTTCCTGATAAAGCATTATCAATAAAGTCCTTTGAAATGTTACGGAATAGGACCAATAAAAAGCCTGTAATCCTACAAAACTCCCAAAAGGAATTCGATGCAAAAACTGGGAGATCAAATGTGAATCTCATCCTCCATACGTCACGAATCTTCTAGAGTCGATTCCTTTGAATTCCGATTTCCTGAAAATTGAATCGGAGTCATTTGGGACGGATTTGCTTAACAAATGGAACGGCAAAGGAAATGAGTTTGAAGATGGAGATTCATTGAAATGGCTGTGAAAATTGGAATTTTTCTAGAAATGAACATGAATTTTTATACGTTTTCTTCGCTCCCAAGCAATTTCAGAAAGACTTCAAATAGTGATTTGACATATAAACGTAAACTAACTCTACGAACTTACTAAATACTTATCAAATTTTCAAGTAATTCCTGCCAGAAAATAATCATTTTGAAACAGATTTTTCCTGCTAATTTTCCAAACAATTAAATTTTTCAAAACTTAATTTTCCGAAGCTAACCAGACATAATATTAGAATTAACCCTTGACCAGCTTACAGAAAATCCTTTATTTTTCTGATTACATCAATCCTTTGAAGCACAAACTTTTGAAAAGTTTTACATCCCTTTTTAGTGGCAACTTCTAAAAATCGGTATTCCATCGAATTGAAAAAATCGTTCTGAATTTTTTAAAAAATTTATCCGACTTTTTGGATCAATACTGTTTCATAAACTAAATATTGGAAGACTTGAATTTCAAAATCACTAACTTAAGATAGAAAGGAGAATAATTGTTCGGGTCCAGAGTGCGCATTTTTGAGGGACGGTGTACAGGGATCGGTGTTTACACTTTGGAACCTATCGGTCGGCAAGCGTTTGTTGCGACCGCGTAGCTCACAATTAGTGGATAACATTGCAGACATTTAGAGAGTAGAATTTTTCAATTATTCTTTTTTTTTTGGAGCCTGCTAAATCAAGTGCTATTTTTGAAATATTTAAAAACTGACATTTTACAGAAGTTCCGGATATGATAATTGAACTTGATACCGAGTTTCTTTCTCGAGATGGAGTTGCAGGGAGAAGAATAGAGCTAATGATCAAAATGGAATCTATCGGCGACTGTCATTTTCTGAGTAGGGAGTGTACTCGATTTCGAGCTCCTTCATTTGATCGTTTGATATCAATTGTACTTTTGCCCCAACAATCGTCCCTTTTAATATCAACTGTATGATTCATCTGCCCACACAGATTCCATCCCGCTGCACATTCCTATCCCTTTTATAAACTGTTAATTCCTCCCCCATATTTCTTATATAAAAGCGAGCCAATGCGAGCTCATTCTCATTTCATAATTTTTATCATTATTGTTTTATTTTATCTCTATCGTTATATTTCTTTATATCTTTAGTTAATAAATGGTTTAATTACCCAAGTTTGAAGTTGCAAACTACATCTACAAGAACTACTGAAGCACACGAAGAAAAATAATGGCAAAAGTATAACTTTCTACTAATATCGTAAAAGAGAAACAGCAAGTTAGCAAAACTAAGTAAATGTAATCTTAAACTGTCATTTCTCATTTTTTATTGAAAAATGGGGAATTTTCAAATAGGTATAGTACCGGTCAATGTGATTTACAAAAACGCATTTGTCAGTTGGTTTTCGTTGTTTTTAGGAATCTGGAGCTCGGCGTTCAAGGTTCTGATCACTTTGAAAAGTTTGGAGGTGCAAGACAGACCTAGATTGAAAACTTTGCATTCACAGAATTTTTGAAAATTCCTAGTTTTTCAGATATTTGTCGATTTCTGAAGAACACCCTTTTTCCTGTTTTTTGTACCGAAAACGTGTGTCTTTCAGAAATCGGCAAATCGTTGAAAAACTAGAGATTTTCTAAAAATCCAGTGAATGCAAAGTTTAAAAATGACCGAAAATCAACTGAAAAACACGTTTTTGTATTTCTTATTGCCCGGTACTGCATGTGGTAGTGGCTACAGTAATCCATATCTAATGCCGTATAGAACATTGGATTCACATAGAAGTTGAACTTACAAGGTACTTGTTACAGTAATCTTGTGAAGTAGGTGGAATCTAAAAAATGAGTCGGATGATAAAATCACTGTTTTCCTACGTTTCTATGAAGTGTGTTACTTTCCAGTTTCAAGGTTTCCATGTAATCGGTGTACAAATATCAAATATACTTTTCCGTGTATAAATATCAAATATACAACTATAGAAGGATTTTCGAAAGTTTAAACTCTGCATTTTAAGAATCGTAGAAGATTCACCCAATTTCTGGGAAATTCACATTACGGCTCCCGGACATTGCGCAACCGGACATTTCGCAGCCGCGACATTTCGTAGCCGGACATTTCGCAGCCAGACGTTTCGAAGCCTCTGATAACGTCAGAAAATCAGAATTCCAAGTTCTTCGATTTTGAAAAAAGTATATATTAATGTCAGAAATTGAATTTTCGAAGTATTCGGCTGAAAAAAAATCAAATTTCAGCTGAAAAAATAGCAAGCAAGTATTCAATCAATTGAAAAATGCTAAATCTTCATTGTTATTCAGAATTTGTTTTTAAAATATAAGATTTTAGAAAGTTGGAATTCTAGAAGAAAAAAAAAGAAATTCTAAAAAATATCATAACAGTGAAGATTTAGCAGTTTTCCATTTATTGAATACTTGCTTGCTATTTTTTCAGCTGAAATTTGATTTTTTTCAGCCGAATACTTCGAAAATTCAATTTCTGACATTAAAATATACTTTTTTCAAAACCGAAGAACTTGGAATTCTGTTTTTCTGACGTTATCAGAGGCTGCGAAATGTCTGGCTGCGAAATGTCCGGTTGCCAAATGTCCGGTTGCCAAATGTCCGGGAGCCGTCTGTTTTACATCCTCCAAAAATTTCCAAAGTGATTGGAAACGGGACATCCGAGCAGCAGACTCCTGAAAATGGTCAAAATAACTGAAAATCAACTGAAATTGTTTTTTTGTATCTCTTATTGATCGGTACTGTGCATTTTATGTAGCCTCTTAACATCAACCCTTCAGAAATCTTCTGAAATTACAGAAATTTTGAAGCAGAAAAAATTTCGAAAATGTTGAACTCTTTCAAATCTTCAAACTTTTTGTTTCCCAAAGCTTTTCTGTTTCATCCCATCAATTTCCCTCCTAACTTTTTTGTCATTTTTAGTCGATATTCTTTCTCTCAAATAACTATGCAAATTCGCTCCACTGAACCACCACACTACTGAAAATGGTATGTGAAAAAAAGTGATTTATTTTGTTTCAATATTTGAAAAATAACAGAGAAAAGAAAAAAAAACAGTGAAAATGTTTTAAAGTGGCAGAGGACAACCCATACGAAGTGTGTGCTGTTAGAGTTTTTTGGTTGTAATGATTTGATGGTCAATTTGGGGTAATTATAATAATTAATTATTAAGGGTCAGCCCATTATTACAGAACTAGAAAGAAGGGGGATGAAAGAGATTGGGGTGGGGGAGAGAGAACATAAGTTGAAAGTCTAAAGTACTGTAGACCCTATTAAAGGGACATACAGTAAGATTTAGGCGGCGACTTGTTTGGTTGGTTTGGCGTGAAGAGCGTGGCATCCCCAGATGGCAATGATGGCGGAGAGGGCGAAGCAGAGGACGGAGAGCGAGACGACGGAACTCACGAAGAATGGCTCAGCGATGCAGAGAAGATCGGTGGACTCGGCGAGGCTGGAAATTGATATTCGAAGTTTTGTAATTCAGTTTTCCACTAATGAACTAATATTGAGACTAATTGGCCCTTTAAATGTTGAAGTTGAAACAGTAAACTTTTTTACATGTCACCAGCCTGTTTGCCATAACTTCGAGCTCAATTATCTCAATTCCCGTAAAAGATATCGAAAAACTGTCAACTGATAAAACGTGTATCATAATATCACCTACGTTTTATTAGTTTACAAACTTTTAGTATCTATTACATGAGCTGAGGTAATTGAGCTCAAAGTGCAAGCATGGTTTTTTTGTTTCGTCTGCTCAAAACAACACGTTTGGCTCATGCTTATAGGTTTGTTAATGCTGTATCAAACTACTTTCAGTTTTTAAAAACTCGTTGAAACCGCTCAAAACAAAACATTGCAAATTGCCACTCTTAATTGTAAGACAAAACAACCGTTACCGTATTTTACCTAATTCCTCTAACAGAAGCCCACTCAAACGTTCTACTTTTAGCTCAATTATATCCGTTCACTTCAAAGGTATCAAAAAGATATCAATCGACAACATTTGTATAATGATAAAACCAACATTTTATCAGTTGACATTTTTAAGAGCATTCATATCAGAGATGAGCGGAAGAGATTTACGGAAATTTACGGAAGACGGTTTATTTTCAAAATGAAAAATGCTACCAAAAAGTTGTGAACGGACAAAATGTAGATCTCAATGAGAGTTATTTATTGGTATAAAAGTTATTTCATAATAGTGATGGGGAGTTGAGATATGGCGTTTCTTCCGTGTTCCGTCTTCTGTCTGGCACACGGAAGACGGAAGAAGACTCTATTTAAATAATCCAACAAAATTTCGAAACAATTTTGTCTTCCGTAAATTTCCGTAAATCTCTTCCGCTCATCTCTGATTCATATATACCAAGATAATTGAGCTCAAAGTGAAAGAGCATTTACAGAGCTTTGAGGTCAGTCGTATTAACATAGCCTTCTGGACTTATGAATACTGTATCAAACTACTTCCAGATTTCAAGAACTTGTCGAAACCGTAAAAAATGAATCATCACAAATAGTGGATTTTAAGACGATACTTGAATATTTGCTTAGCTTGTGGTTAATTTGTATTTGATAAGCTCTATGGAATCGAGAACACATCGAAACATCAAATAAAGTTCAGAACCTCAAAAATGTTGAAGACCATTTTCAAATTTTCAAGGCTCTAAACCCTTAATCTTAAAACATGCTAATCGATGAATATACCGGTGTTATAAATACTAAATTTTTAAGTGATTCGTTGCCAAATACGTACATTTTGAAACATTATTTTTGTCAATAGTCATTAAAGCTAGCTTGACTCTACTAATAGTATTTTGAAAGCCATTTTTCGTCCTAAATTACAGTTCCTAATTCCTTAGCAAATAGGGACTGCTCGAAATTTTTTTTCAAAAAGGACAAGCTTACCTTGTCATCAAAGTGTTGTTTCCCATCTCTATCTCCTCCTCATCCTCTCCCTTGGCGAAGACTCGAATAATAGCGGATAGTCTCTCCTCGGTCTCTCCAGCCTCCAAATCAACGGATCTCTTCTTTCTTCCGTGGGACATGAACAACTCGTTGGTTCCAGAATCCAAACAGTTGGACACTGGACATCCGTTTGGTCCGGCACAGAACATAATCGAGCACACAATCTGAACATCATAAGATCCATCGAGACGGAAAGCGCGGAGGTCAGATTTCAGACGATTCTTATCAAAGTCTTGCTCGACTGGTCCAACTAGTGCTGGATATCTTGGGCATCCATTCTCAATAAGGGTGAATGGAACAGTATCTCCGAATCCGCCGACACGAGTAGCAGTACACTCAGTAACCATCATGTTGTGTGGTCCAGCTTGTTCGGAGGTAATCACAAGAAGGAGTGGATCTCCGATAGAGGCCTTGTGAAGTGGCTCCTCGAGTTGGTTGAGGATCTGAAGCTCAGCCGTGACTGGTGGTGGGGTGGCGACATCCAAGACGGTGGTGTTCTGAGAGGAGGCTTCGTAGATGGTGGTGACGACTACCGATCCTTCCTTAACCATCTTATCCATAGAGACGTCGCAAGAGACACGGTAGAAACGATCCCATTCAGTGGTGACTTGATGTGGGAGGACTCCGTCGAGGGAGACAACAACGAGAGCTTCCATCTTTCCATCACGGATAACAGTTCCGCAGTCAGAAGTGACAGTTGGTGGTGGGAAGGTGATAGAGATCTGTTTGGCGTTCTCAACGACTTGGGAGCAGGTGGAGAATCTCTCGGCGGCGTAAATGGCTCCAGTGTATGGTTCTTTGGTGTTGACGATGAATCGGATTCCCTCGTTGGTGCAGAGAGCCATTCCTCCGAATTGGGATTCACAGTTGAACTCGTAGTAGTCCATTGATGGGTTGGCCTTGATGTTGGCATCCTGGCGGCCGACGGCGTAGATGAAGCAGGAGGAAGCGGTGCGGTCGTAGTTGATGGACTTGCAGTTGAGGTTCTGGAAAATAGTTTTTATAGGATTGCGAAGTTTCAGAATGGTGGAAATTCCTAATTTATAGGCATAAGAATAGACATAAGGCAAACACGGGCCATAAAAAATTCTACTGTTTCTGTTGCCTCACAAATTTGGAGACCATTTAGTCCAGACTATTCTGGGATCGAAAAATTTTCGTTTAGTTTTGATTAAAATTCGATGTAAAATATACGATTACATTTGTCTTGAAAAAAGCTTTAAAATAAGACTAAACACGCCTAAGATCAGTTCACTGTAGTTATTGGGTGCGTCGCAGTCGACCAGCCTTTTCAAGCTACTGTAACTCGATTACTTTTGATCGCATTTTTATGAAAATTACAAGGTAAGATTTGTCTTGAAAAGAGCTTCAAAAGGACTCATCAAATAAATTTTACTCACTAAAGGACCGAAGATTTGGTCGGGACCATTGTTCGGAATATATGACGTGCCCCTTTATTTACCTGGAAGCAAAGCGAGATACAGTCCGAGATGGTGACTCCTTGAGCAGAAGCAACAACCTCTCCCTCGATGGATGACCCGATGAATCTCTCAAAGGCGGCTTGTTGACGGCAGGTGGAGGAGGACAAATCGGCTGTAAAATACCCGATGTTATGGCGCAAAATCATCCGGATCACTTACCAGCAACACAAATTGGCTCATAGTAATCCTTTCCAACGACTTGTCCTTGTTGATCGGCACGGGAGAAAGTGTCCTCATCGGAGACAATACAATTCTTCTCCTTTGGATTAAACTCAACAGATCTGCAGAAAGTGTTCAAGGAGTCCAGGCACTTTTGAAGGCAATAGGATTCCTGGGCCTCAACGGATTGGGTATGATCGTAATAGCGGATTTCGAAGTTGGTGGTCTTCACGAAGACCAAGTTTCCACCGGATGGTCCGCAACGGTTTTGACGGGACAAGCAGTTGTTATCATAGTAGTCGATTCCCTCGGACATACGAACATGGGTTGGTTTGGATCTCTTGTCTTCTACCGACAACTCGCAAAGAGAGTTTTCATAGTGGAAGTTGACAGATTTGCAGACAAACTCCTTCTCCTTAAGACAAGCCGAGAGACAGTGCTCGCGGTTCTTAACGGTGACAGATTTCTTGACGAAACCTTCCAATTGAGTGTTGCGAGCGCGCTCGAAGGAGAACGATCTGTAGGTGCAGGCCTCATGGGCAGACACGTTTGGAATGCAAGTCTTCTCATAGTAGAAGTTGTTGGCCGATGGGTTAGCGGTCAGCTGGGAGGTTCCGGCTGGGGTGGCAGCGTCGTCGAAGAAGTAGCATGTCTCACGACCGTCGAAGTTGAAGGAGGCGCAGACTCTTTGGGCTCCGGTGGTTGGTTCGATGTTGTTACGGCAGTATTGGGCACAGGTCAAGTCGTGTCCTGGAAGAAATTATTGAAACTTAAAATGGTTTTCATACTGTAAAACCTCTAATAGAAAGATTCCCTAACTTTTAATTTTGTGCCACTTTACTCGGCTCCTGTCAAAGATATGATTTTTCAGATTTCTCAAAATGAATATAGAAACTTCAATAATAGAGTGGTTACACCTGGAAAATTTGAAAAACTGCTGTTACAGTAATCTAATAATTCTATGATCTAATTAATAACTGAGCTGCTTGATTCATTTAGTGACTAAATTTTCAACGAATTCAACTTGGTACTAAAAAACCCTCCATTTTCGAATTTTTGATACCTCTATCATTTTGACAGTGGCTTTTCTCGCTTCCTGTCAAAGATAGGAATAAGCTGTTAACTGATAAAATTTTTATCATAAAATTACCAATATTTTTACAGTTAGCCCTTTTTTATATCTTTCATAGGGACTGAGATAATTGAGCTCAAACTTGTCAGTGGCTGCACGGGTTTCACGGTGTGTGGAACTTTTGAAACATTCATGTTTCATAAAGCTGGTGGCAAATCCTCTTACAATGTTAGTTTTGAATTCTGTCATTCGTCTGTTCGAGTGCAAAGTGAGTTATGATTCCGAAAAGTCACAAAAAAAATATGTTTCAGGAACTTGAAAAATGGCTTATCTAAAATTAGCAATGTTGTTGGAATTCTACACACTCGAAACTTTGAAAACAATATTCCTATACTAACATGTCAATCTGTTACAGTACTTTTAAAAATTACTAAGGTTTCAACAATCTCATAAAATTGATCAAGATGAAAATGACATATTGCATGAATTGTCTTACGAAAATTTATTTACTTTTAGAGAATTCAAAATGATCAGTTTTCATTTTTTTTTCCGACATTGTGATATGTGAATCTACTGTTTCACCAGTTCCATACGTAAAAACTGCTTCGTTTTTCAACACTCTTATTATGTTTAACTCAAAGTAACCTAAAACTGACTTTGACCCAATTTATCTCGGTTCCTGTAAGAGATTTCAAAAAAAGATCAACCGATAAAATGTTAAAGATATTGTGATAAACATTTTGTCAGTTGACCACTTTTTAGTATCTTTCACAAGAATCCAGCGAAATAGGCTCAAATTTGAAAGCTACGGAAGTCATTCTTTTGTAGCGTTTACCATAATATGTAGTAGCGTGAAAGTATTTTCACTCAATAACTTATTCAGTCCATGTTACAGTAATAATTTTTTTAATGTTAAATTTTGATAATCCGAAAAGATCCGTCGAGCTATGTGGCTACAGTAATCTTTACAAAATGAAACTGTGATTCGATATAGAAATTATCTGGGTTCCTGTAAAAGATATTGAAAAGTGGTCAACTAATACAATGTGCAGGGTATTATGATAAGCATTTTGTAGGTCGCCCATTTTTTGATATCTTTCACAAAACCCCTGATCCCTGTACGTCTATCTTAGGTCACTCATCTCCCAACTTTCATTTTTGTTTTCTCTCTCAAGGAAATCGAAAATGAATCGAAAATCGAAATCGAAACCACCCCGGAAAACTGCCTCCCTTGGCTACGCGGTCATCATCAAAAAACTAGGTCAATTAGAGAGGCGCGACGCCAACAAGACGAACCTGCTGTAGAAATGACGACTGGGGTTCCATCAAGACGGGCGCGTGGGATACGAACGAAGGCTGTCGTCTCGTGGGAACTGCACTCGAAGACCGCTTGAGCTGTTAAGAAACTGCCGAGCAGCAAGAATATCACCCGTGGCGACATTTTTGGTTTTGGTATTGCCTGAAATGGAGATTGTTAGATTTATAAGGTTTGGATTTTTACAAAGAACCGACAATCGGAAAAAAAATTGCTGAAGAAAAGTATACAATTCAAAAAGTGAACAGTTTGAAACCGATGATTTTTGAAAGGATCGGAAATCGGGAAATGGTAACAAGGCACTTATTGAGAATTGCTATAAAAAAATATAAAATGTGGACATTTTGAAACCGAAATTCGTCAGAAAAGTCAAGAGTGTTGCCAGTTGAGGAGGGCTTTTATGAATAAGAAAAGGCGCGAAAAACTGGATGAGGCGGAATATGTGGTGATCAAGGAGAGAACGGGAAGAAGAAGAAGAAGGATGAATCAACGGATTGGAAACTCGGAATCTCGGGAGACAGAAAGAGAAGGAGATTTTCGGGATCAGAACAGGAGATACAATATTGCCTATATATGGGAATGGAAAATTGATGATGATGACTGTAGTAGGTAGACAGATAAGGTAATCAATATATTAAACTCAGTATTCATGGATTGTAGAGAAAAATCGCTCAAAATACATAAGGTTTAGAACATGTAATTTTTCAGTTTTTTCTAGGAAAACAAATTCAGTGGGATTCTCGGAGCTCAATTCAGATTTTCTTGGCAAAAACCCGTCAACTTTGAGCTCATTTATCTCATTTCCTGTGAAAGATATCAAAAAGTGGTAAACTGATAAAATGTTCATGATAATATCAAAAATATTTTATCAGTTGACAGATTTTTTATATCTACTACAGGAACCGAGATAAATTGACTCAAAGTGGTAGGTACAACCTTACATTGATCAATTTCTATTGAGAATTTGACACGATGAGGGAATTGAACCATCAGCATGAAAGTCTTATTTCTCAATAAATACTGCAGTCTTTGTTACAGTATTTGTTTAAACCATTTATCTGAATAATCCCTAAACGGGAAATTCGTATACTTTTGTGGACCTTGTTACAGTAATCTTCACAAAAAGAAATATAGAATTTTAACTTGATCTATAGGGAAAGAACAACCACTGGATTCGCATGTAGAAGTTAAAATTACTAGGTTCTTGCTACAGTAATATTTTTTGCCGAATTTCAGATTGTGATAAGTAACACACGAGAGACTCATTGACTTAGTAACAGTAATCTTTACAGCTCTCACAATCAATTCTGATTTGCCTATTCTTGGAAAATGCAAATTTTGAAATGTTGAATTTTTTTTGGTTTCAAGATTTTCATATTTTTTCGAAATTGAATTTTGCACTAATTTTCTTGGCTACTCATAGCCCTTTTTCTCAATTGCCCTTTTCCTGTAAGAATCGGCTAAAATCAGTAAGCTGAAACCAAAAAAATTGTATCTCTGTTTTGTTTTTAAGTGGGACTGCAAAGTTATTGGTTAAAGTTATTAGTTACATTTTAAAGCTCATGCGATCGCTAAGATTACGCTTGCAACCGCGTAGCTTATCCGGTACAATAATAGACGATCTACAAAATACTTTTTTTCTGTTCCAGATACCTAATATCTGACTGATTGATTTTTACTAAAGTATTATCAATTCGTCTATTATATCCCCATATTCCATACCAGGTACAGAACTAATACGCTATCTCCTTCCTCCCGAAAAAAGATATCATCTCCTTTTTTCTGTACACACATAATCGGGATCAGTCACTCATAGACACAGGGGGATACGCACTAATCGGATTGATATGACCTTGTGATAAGGAGAAGAGACAGTTCGGGAAAAGGAAGATCCTGTACTAACCACTGCCAGGAAGATCGAGGGGGGGGGTGTTTAGGTATGGAGGATGAATGAAAATGATGGAATCGAAAAATTGGATTGGGGAACTTGAGGGAAATTTTGGGACTAGATGAAACAGTTGAAGAAATGTGTTTCGTATTAAACAAGGTAAAATCTTTAAACAATTAGTGAAAAAATAAAACAGTAAAAATTTTCTAGCTATTTCTTTGAATTGTCATTGTTTGCTTATAAGAGTTCTGAACTTACACACCAGATATTTAAAGAGCCCGTTGAGTTACGCGGTCACTGAAGGAGTACGGTAGCTATCGAAACAGAGTCGGAGCAAAACGCACACTCTAGCAATTGAGTCCACCTAGTATTCCATCGGAAGCGATGAGCCAAATATGGAAAGCTAACATAAACACAAGATGGAACCGGAAAATTTAACTTGCAAAAAATTTAACTTGAGCACAATTATCTTGGTTTCTACAAAAGATATCTAAAATAGGTCAACTGATAACATGTTGGTGATAACATGACAAATATTTTATCAGTTGACACATTTTTTATATCTTTCACGGGAACTGAGATAATTGCACTGCAGCTGAATCAAAAATGAGAAAATCTAGGATATTTTAATGGCACGGTGAAACAGTGGAAAATGTAGTGGATAAATTGAAAACCAACTTAAAGTCGAAAATTTAAAAAAAATGGCTCAAGTTTGGTGGCTCATCCCACTCATCACCACTTTAGAATCATTGGATTACTGTAGCAGTAAATTTTCGAATGCTCCAGGCGTAAGTATTGTTATTGCATCTTCGGAAAGTGCGTGAATCATGATTTTCGTCTTTCATGATGTTCGTAACATTTTTGAAGAAAAACATCATGAAAAAAATGGAAGTCAAAAAATTGAAAGGTTACTGTAACACTAATCCGAGTAGCGCAAATATGTGAATTTGTTTTTGAAAAATGAATTGATAGTATATGTAATTTCGTAAAAAAAATCCCTAGGAAAATTTCGAATTTTCGAAAACACATTTTGCCAAAAAACAGGATCCCGAAAACAAATCTTGAAAAATCGAATTTTTGAAACCGCAGAGAATTTTCAAAGATTTTGGACTTTAGAATTTTAGAAAGGATCAGAAGCATGGGAACCTGAAAATCCAGAAAATCTTAAAGTAATAGGAAATTTACTATCCCAAAATTCGAAAATCTCGAGTTCTGGAAATTTAAAAGGATAAAATATTTTTTCAAAAATATTCAAGACCTCCGGGTTCTAAAAATCTGGAGCCTAAGAATCTAGAACACCCAGAATCTTTTAAAACGTCTAGATATCAAAAAGTGCTAGCAAAAACAGCTAGGAGACAATTCAAGGGTAGGAAAGCCACAGCAAAACTACCGCACTTCCTCTAATAGTAGCCCCTCTTAAGCCATCAACTTTGAGCTCAATCCTTCATTTAAGGAAATGAGGTAAATTGTTCAATTCATCGAAAAATGGACAAGCTCGCAGTTGGTGGTACGGTATATGAACTTTTCTATGTCCCTTTTAAGTCATAAGGAGAAACAGGGAATCTTTACGACTACTACCCCAAGGAATCCATAGATAAACAAAGTATACAAAAAGGGATATATAACCATCAGTACCATCAGCACGGAAAAACGCAGCGATGTGTATCCCGAAAGAAAAGGAATAAGAAGAAGGAGGCGAAGATTCGTATCTATCTTCCGGAGAAAGGGGGTCGCCGTCTAAAGGAGGGGGGGGTCGTATCTTTCTCCGAGAAACAGAAGTGACAAGGCCTTGACCGACTTACCTTCTTTCGTTTTGGAGGAGGCGGAGGAGAAAAGATATCTCTTCTTTTCTCCTTTTTGTACAACATTCCAATGGAATGTTGGCCTCGATTTCCTTTTCTAGGCCATGTTAGTACTGTGTTTTTGGTTGATTTGGGGAGAAGGGAAAGTGACTAAGGGAGATTGAAAGGGCAAATCCTTGTTTCGGGAATGGTCATCGAGGAAACTTGAGAAGAAGCTAAATCTAGTTGTGTGATGAAACGAACTTTAGAACTTGAGAATAAGGAGCAAATTGGGTGGAATGACATGGACATTGAAGCTTCAAAAAAGGCACTCGTGGCTTATAAGATCTGATCAAAATTTCAAGAGAATAACTGTGGATTTCTGATTAAAGGGGGTTTCCTTGGGTCGCTAAGTCTATCACTGAAAGAACGGCCTAATTAGTCCTCGGTCTTATGGATACGGTATGAAAATAGTAGCCCCTGGGGTTTTATTTGGTCATGAGCATGAGTTGTCCACCGTTAAGACCTTCCTTGGATTTGCCATGGTTACTGAACCTCTAAGCCTGGTGAAAGTGTAACGTGAAGTTTAACAAAATATTAAATTGTTAGTGAAACGGAAATTTTGAATTTCAGAAAAAAATCCTGTTTCCGATTTTCAATATTTTTTGGAGAATTTTTCAGGCAATTGGTACGATCATCTAACTGCCTTTTTTGAACTATGACCACATATTTGTGCTATTCGGATTACAGTAATCTTTCAATTTTTCGACTTACTGTATTCTCATAACGCTTCATCTTCAAAACGAAGGAAAATCAAGAAATGATAGTTTTTAGAATTTTGAGATTTATCGAAATGGATGTAGGATATCAATTGCAGAGTACTTACACCTGGATAATTTGCAAAACTACTGTTACAGTAATCCAATAATTTTAATTTGATGATAGTGTAACTAATAAGTAGTTGAACTAAGAAACTCATTTAGAAACTAACAATAAGATTTCATATTTTTCCAAAAATAATTTTCGAAAATTCTGGAAAAAATCCTGTTTCCGATTTTCAATATTTTTGGAGAATTTTTCACGGAATTGGTATGATTCATTTTTCAGCAATTACCACATATTTGCGCAATTCGGATTACTGTTACAGTAATCTTTCAATTTTTCGAATCACTGATTTCTCATAATTTTCATTTCCAAAACGGTTAAAAAATCAAGAAATTATAGTTTTTCGATTAATCAGATTTATTAAAATGAAAAGGAGATTAAATAACTGAGAACTTATATCTAGAAAATTTGAAAAATTGCTGTAACAGTAATCCAATAATTCTAATTTAATGATATTCTAGCTGATAACTGAGAGTCAGCTTTATGGATTTTTTTTCAAACTTTGATTACAGATCCATTTTTAATTCAGGCACCAAAGCGTTCACACGTATTTAGCCACTAAACTTTCAACTGTTTTACCTTATCACTAAAGTTTTTCCCACTTCTGCTTTTTGATATAGATAATACTTGGTTCTGTGTAGCCCTTTTGAGCTCAATTACCTCGTTCCCTTTAAGGGTTATTCAAAATTTATCAACTGATAAAATCTTTATCATAATATCACCAACATTTTACTGGTTGAACACTTTTTGATATCTGTTACGGGAACCGAGATAGCTTCGGTCAAGGTTTGAGGTAAGAAATCTTGGCCAAGTTTTGGTCAGAGGTTGCCCAATAACGGATACATGGCGTATCAAAGGATATTACAGAAATATTCCAAATTTAAGTAACTTCATTCTAGATAACAATCGAAATTAACTATTTTCACATATTTTCAAAGCATATGGAGTCATCGTATTATATTTGATCATAATCTATAAGACTTTATGATTTTGATGGATCTGTAATTATTTCATAAGGATAATAAAATTTTCATAATCTTGCTTTTTTTTTTATTCTGAGGTGGCACAAGAAACAATCACATGAACTTGGTATTCATCAAATTTCTGCATGAAATGAAACGGTAAATATTGGAAACTTGTGAAATGCCAAGAATATGAAATTGAGCCCTATCTTTCGTTTTCCCTATGAGAATTTTAAACTTGCATAATGATATAACACATTTCATAACTTATAAACATTAATTTAAAATTATTAATGTTTCTCGATTCTTATAGTTTTTGTGTGGATAATTGATTTATTTAGTGAGTTTAATTCGGAGCCAATCTTTATCGGAACATTTTTTGTTGTAAAGGAACAATTTAAATCGGTACAAAATAAACAAAAACACAATTCCGTCTTTACAAAAAATTCAAAATTCAAAAAGAAACATTTTATGCTTCATCCAGATCATATTATGTTTCTTTTATCACTGAATCGATTCTTTTTGAGATCTTGTTAGCACCAGCCAGTTCTTTTCGAGACTGTTGAGAACCCTTTGAACATGTAATAGAAAAACATCTTGACTTTGAGACAATTTATCTGGGTTCCTGTGAGAGATATCAAAAAGTGGTCAACTGGCAATACATTTAGCATAAAATTCGAAATATTTGGTTAGCTGACCATTTTGGATATCTCTTACAGAAAATGAGATAAATTTGGAAAAGAAAACTCTTCGATTAAGTTACTCGGGTGCGGGGTTGTAACTTCTGGTCGGAAGTTGAGGGGGTTCGGCTTTTGGTCGGATCTTGGTCAGATTTTGGTCGGTATTATGAAGCGTTGCGTGCATGCGACGCGTGCTTCACTCATTTTTGTTTATCTTTTGGAAACTGTTTTTTTACCGTTTTACCTAAAAACGTTCTTTTTTATTTTTTAGCTTATTTTTTTAAAGTTTTTTTTTTCAGAAAAATAGTATTTTTTTCCCCAAAAATCAAATTTTGGAAAGTGTTTTCAAATATGTTTTTTTCTGACAGAACACATTCTAAAAATCAAAACAATCAAGAATTTTTCTTCATTTAAGAACATCTAATTTTGGATTTTTTGTTTTCGGAATGTGTTCTATCAGAAAAAGTATGTTTGAAACCCCTAAAATTATTTTTGAAGTCTGAAATTCATCCATTCGCCTGCGTCACCACAGCTTCGAATCGGTTTCGAAATGACTGTTTTCGAAAAAGCTGGGAGAAGAATCGAAAAGTAAACCAGATATATTTCTATATTCTGAACTAAAAATAAATTTTTTTCCGATTTCAGGCAGCGACACGTAAACGTACTTCTCGACACCTTTCTCCACACCCAAGTCAACCCAAAAAGAGGATCTTCGATAACTTCAAAATGTAATGTTATAAATTTTGTTCGTTTTCTTGTATTTAAAAAAAAGGTATTTTTAATGTTGATTGTTGATACCGAGTGCAGTGTTTCTTTTAAAAATAATGAATAGTGCGAACCGAAGACGGACCCTGCTGTAATGAGGTCAGAAGTTGGTCGGAAGTTTGCCGGATCTTGGTCGGCTTTAGTAGCGGTCTTGTCCATAATACGACCAAGCAGCGCCCTGAAGCCGACCAACTTCCGACCAGAAGTTGCCGGCGACACCCGAGTAACTATGCAAACAAGATAAAACAGGTTTAACATCTTATAGAAACATAAAATTTTAGAACTTTTATATTTTTGTGTCGAAGTTTTTTTTGGAAAAAAATAGTTACCCTTTATGGTTTTTTCAGTTGACCACTTTTTGATATCTTTCACAGGAACTGAGGTATTTTGGATCAATGTTGACGTTTTTGGGTTATTCTATTATATTGTTTACGGTATATTAACAACTACTAATGTAAGATTTGAACATTACCTATTAACTTTTATTAATTGAATGAATCTGTAATTATCGACGATACAATTTTCGACTTTTCATAAAGTAAAACTTTCAGGATCTTATTGTAGACTCAAAAATAATAATAAGAAAGTCAAATAGATGATACACAAATTATGTTAAGCTTCTAGATTTATCTTGGAAAAACTACTAGTGGTTTCATTTAGCTTAAAGGAGGCGAGACAGCAAATATTTCGAGGGACAGTTCGGGGGACGAAATCGCGCCGCGATTATGTAGATCATCGGTCGGCAGGCGCCTTCGCGCCCCCGTAGCTCAGCCGGTAGCGGCGCTGTACCCCTAAGCTGCCTGTCATGAGTTCAACAGCAGTTATCTCGATTCTTGTAAAAGATTTCAAAAAACTGTCAACTGATAAAATGTTAATGATAATATCACCTACATTTTATTAATTGACCGTTTTTTGATATCTTTCACATGAACCGAGATAAATTTGGTCAATGTTTAAGGTAACAAATTTTCTACAAGTTTTGGTCAGAAGTAGCCGAAAAACGGGTATACATATAGTGGGTTATGACAGAGAAAGTTCAGTTCAATTATGCAAACATAACAATCGAAGTCAACCATTTTCACATGCTGAAGATAGAGAAGAGGAATTATATTTGAAAATTATCTATTGGCTTTTACGAATATAATGAATCTGTAATAGTTTCATGACAATTGTAAAGCTCTGAAGAATCTAGTTTTTTTCCTTTTTTCCTATAGCACTTCAAGTATTGCACATCTTCATTCGTACTTGATTTCATTAGTTCTTTGAAACTGCAATGAATTTTTCATTGAAACTTCAGGTATAACACACGAGCTGACTCCTCAAAAGATCATCTTTGAAAATATTTTGAAAGTTGGAAAAATCGCCTGTTTCATATATTTCCGTTTTTACCAGTTTAATTTTGTTGAACTACTTCCGCAATATGTGAGTTTTTGATTTCTTATTAGGACTTATGAAAAAACTTTTATTATACGTTCAAACAATCTCATCAAGTGAAGGTTATACAATAAAGACATCAAGGCTGCTTAGGCCAAACTTGCAGCGCTAGCAATATCTCCATTTTATTGGCTGCCCATACTCCGTACTTTCCGAAGATAGATCCTATCGTTCCATCGCTTCTTATTAGATAACCAGCAGCTGGTGGGCCTTCGGCCAATGATAATAAGAACTTCAAATTGATTATAGAGAATTTTGTCAAACGCATTTAGTAGCATGGTACTTACACCTAGAAAATTTGGAGTTTCTTCGAATTCTAAAACTCTCAATTGAACGAACAAAAAATCCCGGTTTCATAATTTCTATATTTTCAGTTTGCTGTTTAGTGTTCTCATTAGGACTTTGTTGGATAGTTGTTTTCAAATTTGATGATTTTGGAGATATTTGTTTCAAAAAAAATTGTTTTGAAGTTTTTTCCTGTTTCCGATTTTCCATACATACATGGACCATACTTTTTGACAATTTTTCACAGAGTCAATAGGAAGTTTTGCTAATTTTTCAACTAATTGTAAGTTCACTAAATTTAAACTCAAAAAAATTTTTCGAATTACTGTTACAGTAACCTTTCAATTTTTCGACTTTCTAATTTTTCACAATCATCCTCCAAAAAAGATGCAAAGATCATAAAATGATCGTTTTTTCGCATTTTCAGGTATTGCAAAAATGAATACAGAAAATTCAATATCAGAGTACTTTGGAAAACTACTGCTACAGTAATTCAATTATTCTAATTTTATGAAAGTGTAGCTGAAAGCTTCAAAGCCACCATAGCCATTACTCTTTCCTTTATCCACTTATTTATATTCTAATTTTTACTATTTCACATCGGTCCTAAAATATCCTCCACTTTTAAATTTTCGATATTACTAATCTCTGGTTCCTGTTAGAGATTTCGAAGATCTGTCGGCTGATAAAACGTTTTTCTTAATATCACCTTCTTATAGTTGCAGATTTTTTAAATCTCTCATCATAAAAGCGACGTAAAAAAGCGAAAATCCTTGATGTCCCATTGACCTCTGGCAGATTGCTATAAAAGAATAGGGAAGTGGATGGAAGAATCAGTTCTCGCCTTTTGGGGGCTCCAGAGAAGGCGAGGGGGGGCCTTGAGGCTTTGAGCCTTGGCCTTGGCCTTTGGCCTTTGGCCTTTGGCCTTTGGGCCCTTTGGCCAAGGCCCAAAGCTAAAGTCCCAAGTCCCATAGCCCAAGTCCCAAGTCCAAGGGCCAAGTGTCCAAGGTTCCATATTCCCAGCCCATGCCCAATGCCCAAAAACCCAATGCCCAAGCCCAAGGCCCAAGTCCCAAGGCTCAAAGGCCCAAAGGCCCAAGGCCAAAGGCCCAAGGCCCAAAGGCCCGAAGGCCCGAAGGCCCGAAGGCCCAAGGGCCAACGCCCAAGGGCCAACGCCCAAGGCCCAAGGCCCAAGGCTCAAAGGCCCAAAGGCCCAAGGCCAAAGGTCCAAGGCCCAAGGTCCAAGGCCCAAGGCCCAAGGCCCAAAGGGCCAAAGGCCCAAATGCACAAAGGCCCAAGGCCCAAAGGCCCATGGCCCAAAAACCCAAAGGCCCAAGGCCCAAAGGCCCAAGGCCCAAGGCCCAAGGCCCAAGGCCCAAGGCCCAAGGCCCATGGCCCAAGGGCCCATGCCCATGGCCCAAGGCCCAAAGGCCCAAAGGCCCAAAGGCCCAAAGCCCAAAGGCCCAAGGCTCAAGGCCTCAAAGCCTCAAGGCCCCCCTCGCCTTCTCTGGAGCCCCGAAAAGGCGAGAACTGATTCTTCCCTCCACTTCCCTCTTCTTTTATAGCAATCTGCCAGAGGTCAATGGGACATCAAGGATTTTCGCTTTTTTACGTCGCTTTTATTTTTTTTTAAATAAATAGATTTTTTGTCACGTTTAAATAAAACTTGAATGTTTTTTTTTCTGAAATCTGTGAAACTCCTTGAAAAGACTGTCTATTTGAACCTAATCATCTCGTTTCTTGTTGGAGATATCGAAAAAGTGATAACGAATGAAATGTTTAAAATATTAAGGCAAACATTTTTGTTGTTAAAAGTTTTCTGATTTCTTTCACAGGAACCTTGGTCAAAGTTTACGGTTAAACGATACAACTCTCCCAAACCGTAAACTTTGAGCCAATTCATCTCGCTTCTGGTGAAATATATCAAAAAATGATACATTGACAAGATTTTTGTTATTACATCGAAAAATTTCGCCAGTTTACTACGTTTTGATATCGTTCACAGAAACCGAGATACATTGGCTCAAATTTAGAGGTGTCATTCTATTAGTGCGCTACACAAAACGTTTTGTCGAATTACTGTTACAGTAATCTTTCAATTTTTCGTTGTTCTAATTCGATTCAATCATTTGGTTCATATTGGCACACATTGGCACTAAAAATATCCTCCACCTTTGAGTTTCTGATATTTCTTTTAGTTGGAGAACAATTATCTCGATTCCTGTAAAAGGTTTCAAAAATCTTTCAACTGATAAAATGTTACTGATAACATAATAAACATTTTATCAGCTTCTCATATCTCTTATAGGAATCGAGATAGTTAAGCTCGAAGCCATTTTTACCATGGTGACCTAGAAAACCCATTTTTTTCAAAAGTTCGGCCACCATGTTTAAATGACTACTGCTGGAAGATTCTAGAGACTAAAACGTCCTAAATCCCAATGCTCATCACAATACTTCATACATATAAAAGAAAGGCGAATTCCATAGAGAAAGTACATAACATATAAAATTGGCATTTTTTTCGAGGAGGTTGTTTAGCGGAGTGGGGGAGAGGGAAAGAAGAATTATGGTACAAAATTTGTGGCGGTTGATTAAAAGGGAAAGGGATCAATTGATGGGAATATATCACGTTACACAGAAAGAGACGGTGAATCGCACAGATTAGACGAAAAAAGGGGGTTAGTGATAAGGCGAAAAAAATCTAATCAATTCAGGGATACAAAGGGAAAGCAAATAAATATTTTTTTATCAAACAAAATCGAACAATCAAAAATTATCAGTCATATCTAGCCGACAGTGCGCCCAGCTTGCTAGCGACATCCTGATAAAACGCGGCTTGTCTCTTCAAATAAGTGCCCATCGTGGATTTCAGATCCTCCACTTTTTCAGCAGTTTGATGCTGAATCTCGGCGATCACCGCGTAGCTCATCGCGTCGATTCGCTGCTTCATCTTCTCGGCTTCCATCGATGAGAGACGTCCCTCGCTTTCACGGAATTTTTGAAGGGCTTGCTGGAAAAGATTAGGATTGCTCAGCTTCAGCAGATACGGTAGCCAAAAGATACCAAATTGGAGCTCCATTATCTCGGCTCCTATAATAGATATCAAAAATCTGTCAACTGATAAAATATTGCTGATAAAATGATAAATAGTTTATCAGTTCACAATTTTCCTAAATTCTTGAAGGAGCCCAGATAATTAAGCTCAAAGTTGACGGTACGGTATCTCTGATGGATGGCTCTAAAATAATGCTCCTCGTTTTAAATTACAGTACCCTATGAACATGAATAATGTCTGGAACGTTCTGTACAGTCCCCTTGTACGAGTACAAATTCTCCAGCACCGGCTCCATGTCGTTTTTCGTGTGCGCGTCGAAAACTTGTCCAATCTCGTGATATTCCGATGCCGTGTGAGCGAGAGCGTCCGTCAGAAGGCGACTGGCTGAAGATGAGGCTTATTTGGGTAAGGAAAACTGTGGCCTAACTTTCACAAGTTAAGTTTTCTAGGCCATCATGACAAGATGGCCTAGAAAACGCACCAGATGAATATGAGACCGTTTCTATGCAATTTAACAGGATGACCTAACTTTCTCAACATGATTTTTCTAGGCCACCACTTCAAAATGACCTAGCATTGGTCTGATGTTCACCTGGAGTCTTTTCTTGGTCATTTCACCTTGCTGGCCTAGAAAATTCAACTTGCGAAAATTAGGCCATAATGTTAAAATGGCCTGAAAATAGCTTAACATACACCTGATGTGTTTCCTAAACCATTTTCTTTGGAGGCCTAGAAATCTCAAGTTGCAAAAGTTAGGCCACCATGTTAAATCGTCTAGAAATGACCTAATATAGACCTGGTGGCATTTCTAAGCTGTTTGAGCATGATGGCCTAACTTTTGCAAGCTCATTTTTCTAGGCCATCATCCTAAATTGACCTCGAAATGTCCTAAACTTCACCTGGGTTGTTTTCAAGGGCATTTTAACATGATGGCCTAACTTGTGGTATACGAGATTTCTAGGCCACCATATTAAAGTCGCCTAGAAACACACCAGATGCATGCCAAGCCATTCCTAGGCCATTTCAAGATGGCCTAGAAACCTCAACTTGCAAAAGTTAGGCCACCATGTTAAAATCGCCTAGAAGACACAAAAATCGCGATTTCCGGCTTAAAACCCACCAACAGTTTCATCGATCTCGAACGATTGCTGGAGCGTCTTGAACGCGCTGCCCATCTTTTGCCAGTTTTGTTTGACAGCTGAAAATTTGAAAATTCGAATTTTCGCGGGAAATTCAAATCTTACGTCCAGCGAACACCTTCTGGAACATGTTCATACGCTCTTGCATCACACGCATCGCCTCTTCCGACGTCTTCACACTTCGTTGGAATCGTTCCACTTGTTGGTCGCTGGAAAAATGCGATTTTTAACATTGTGGCCTAACTTTCGCATGTTGAGTTTTCTAGGCCACCATGGTAAAATCGCCTAAAAATCGTCTGACATACATTTTGAGTGATTTCTAGGTCATTTTAACACGGTGGCCTAACTTTTGCAAGTTGAGTTTTTTAGGCCACCATGTTAAAATGTCCTAGAAGTGCTCTGATAATGACTTGGTACGAGTTCTAGGCCTTTTCAGCATAGTGGCCTAGAAAATGTTACTTGAAAAAGTTAGGCCACCATGTTAAACTGGCCTAAAAATAGTCTGACATCAATGTAGTGTTTTCTAGGCCATTCGACATGATGGCCTAACTTTTGCAAGTTGAATTTTCTAGGCCATCGAGATTAAAATGTCCTAGAAAACATACCAGGTGGATATCAGGCCATTTTAGGCCATTCCAAAATGGTGGCCTAGAAAATTCAACTTTCAAAAGTTCGGCCATCATGATAAATACTAAACTTACACCGCGTTCGGGTCCAGTGGTTGCTGGGGTACGGTAATGCAGTTCAGGAAGCTTCCGCCAATGTACTCGTCCTTCTCGGCACGTCGTTTGCCGCTCTTCCAGTCCTTCTCGTCTGTACAGCTGATGAAGTGCAGCCAGACCTGCAAGAATTATCCATGGAGCGAGTTTGCGGTGCTGGTAGGGCTTATGCGCTCTACTGATTATTTTCAGTGTCAATAGAGCGATTTTGCTAATTCAAAGCTCCTAAAAAGTGGGCAATCAAATGCCAACTCACCTCGGACTGACTCAACACGGGATGCCTACAAATCTTGTTGACCCACAACTGAAGGATGTGCTTCCGATGATCGATGAGATCCTCCTCGTACCGTCCGGCGACTTGTTTCTCGGGTAGTGGGGGGATCGGGATGAAGATGTACTTGGCGGAGAGTTGCTCGTGGAGCCAGTCAAAGTGTTTGTAGCGACGGGACACCTGACACTGGTGGATGGTAAGGGATGGCTAGAGATGGTTTTGGAGGGTCCCAGAAGGTTCTAGAAGGTTCCAGAAGGTCTAAGAGCAACTAGGACCTTCTGAAACCTTCTAGATGGTTCTAGAAGAGTCACCTACCAGAGCATTCTAGACGGTTCTAGTACCTTCTAGAGCGTTCTGAAACATTCACGATCTTCCTAGAACATTCCGAAACCTCCTAAAGGATTTCAGAAAGTTCTAGAAGGTTCTAGAAGGCTCAAACTGTTCTTATGGATTCTAAATGATTCTAGATGGCTCCAGATGGTTTCAGAGGCTTACAGAATGCCTAGAAGGGTCAAAAGAGGACTCTGGAACCATCTAGGATCATTAAGAACAATCTAGGACCATCTAAAATGGTTCTAGATGGTTCCAGAGCGTTCTAGATAGTTCTAAATAGTTCTAGATGGCTCTAACTGGTTGAAGATGGTCCTAGATGGTTCTGGACCCTTCTAGAACATACTGAACGCTGATGCACAATAAGGAACGGCGCTAGATAATTCTAGAAACTTCTAGAACCCCCTAGGCCCTCCATGAACCTTCTAGAACCCTCTAGATTCTCCTAGAATCTCCCCACCCCACTTACCTGAATATTGGTCAAACTTGACGTGATCGAGTAGGCGATAAAACTCTTCAACCCCTTCAACTTCGACTCCTTCTTCGGCTTATCCACAACGCAAGTGTAGTACTGTTGAATGGGTTTCCACTGGATGATGCCCTGATTAATGACCACCTCATGACGTTCCGAAATCGGTGTGGACGTCTTCGAGTCGCCGATGACATAAGCTTCGACTCCGGACTTGACAAAGTTCGAGAAGCGATTGATGTTCTTGTTGACTTTGCTTGAGCCGCGGTCGGCTCCGTGTTCCGAGTGACTGCGGCTGAGGTCGCGGCGAGAGTTGGAGGCCAGAGAGGCGGTCGTGGTGGTGGCTGATGGACGCGAGGGTTCCTGGAACTAGGTCAAGTTGAGGATGGTTTCTGAGAGGATGGGGGCATGCAAAGAAGCATCGTGCAGAGAATTACAAGCAGTTCGATAAATTCTAAAGCTGAGCAATCTCACAGTCTTCACAGATAAAACCACAAGAACATTACGCCCGCAAGCGATTTGAAAGAGTCTAACGCTGAGCAATCGTAACTTAAAATGTATATGATCTTTAAGACCATCAGAATAATCCAAAAGCTGAGCAATCGAGTTCAAACATGGAATTCTGAACAAAACCCAAAATGTGGAGCTACAGTAGCTAACAGGATCTGCGAAATGACGCCTGAATCAACTACCGTATCACCTCTAAAAGAAGCACACACAAGCCTTCAACTTTGAGCTCAATTATCTCGCTTCCTATAAGAGCTATCAATAATTTGTCAACTGATAAATCACTTTCACTTTAAGATAAGCATTTTATCAGTTGGCAAAATTTTGATATCTATTATAGGAACCGAGATAATTGAGCTCAAAGTTGAAAGTTGCGGTGGGCTTCTGTTAGAGAGTACTGTAGTTGAATTAGGTCTCATTTTGTAGATCTAGCTGAGTAGCTGAGCTACTGCAGCTCTATATTTCACTCTATGATTCAAGCGGAAGTTCCAAGGGCTACGGTTACTGAGGAACAAGAATACCAACTACAAAAAACATCACAAGCTCCCAAGCTTGAACTGAATTAGGCTGACAGGCTACCATGGCGATCTTAACGATCTAATGAGTACGATAACTGAGGAGCCAACTACAAACTACAAAACGACGTCACGATCCCGAAGGCTCCGAACCTTGCTATTATCATGATGTCCAGAACGAAACGACGAACGACTGTGACTGTGTACACTACCACTTGTCGCCGATTTCTCTATACGTCGTCGGCAGGACCGCTCTTCGCTGGGGCGCCTCCGACGCGCGCTATCCTGTCGGGATAGCCGCTTTTTTGTCGAGTTCGCGGAGCCGACACTACCGTTTCGTATGGTATGGTCTGGAAACGAGACCGTAGCTCGGTTGGAACTACAAAATGGGCCTAAATTTGGGATTTTTGAAGCGTTGGCTTTTGCCCAAAAGCAGCTGATCAGTAGGGTCGATTTCGGGCTTAAATCGACCATACTTTTCAGGTGCCCTTCGCTCAAAAAGCCACCAACCAGAAACCTCCACATTTAGGCTCATTTTGTAGGGCACATCAAGCTCTACTCTCCAATTTTTGAATAGATCGAAAATTTTAAGTTTGAGCTGGCCTACTGTAGCCTAGGAGCCACAGTCTTGGACCAACCAAACGACAGTAACCCTCTCTGACCTTGCTGACTGCTTCTAGTCTCATCATCCGTCGACATGTCGGTCCGGGACCCACTGGCACGGTTGTAATGATTGGCGGAGACTAACGACGGGTCATGGACAGATAGGCGGTGTTCCTTGAAAAATGGACAATATTGGGATTTTAATTTCGGTAGGCGGTCGGTCGACCGCTAGACCATAAAATCCAAAACCAACCCAAGATGGCGAGAACGAGACGCTCGCCCGATGCACACCACGAATCGCGCTCAACGGAATCGGGCGGCTGTAGAAGAAGACGTCGGCATCGGACTGACGCAATCGACGCATCTCCTTCATAATTCGATATATGAAGAGAGATGACTAGAGGGGGTAGAAAGAATATATTGATGCCTAGAGTGTCTTCTGGAGTCACAACGTCTTCTAGAGATGATAGGGGGAGTCTTCTCCGGGAAGAGGGGGAAAAATGGCTCAAGAAGGCGCCGACAAGAAGAAAGAGAGAGGAACCAGAATCCTCTCAATAGCTGCAATCAAGGGGCGACGACGACGACGTCTTCTTCTTGGGTGCTTCTTGGGTTGGTTTTCGGGATTTCCTTTTCATTTTTTTAGTTTCGATTTTTTAGTTTTTTGGTGGCCTAGATAATTCAAGGGTCTAGGGCACGTTAGTTGACGAGCCTGTTGTGGCCGAGTTTTGCAAATTTTTAAGCCAAGTAACTCAAAAATGGGTAACGCCTACGTGGTCGAGTTTCGAACTTTTCTAGGCCACGTAAGCCACACAATTTGATGTGCCTACTGTGGCCTAGAAGCTGAAAACCAGCTGGCCGAGTTTTGCAAACTTCGAGGCCATGTAAGTCGTGAAAGATGTCGAGCCAACAGTGACCTAGAAACCAAAACCAGTTGGCCGAGTTTTTTGAAAATTTCTAGGCCACGTTAGTCGTACAAATCGGACGAGTTTTCTGTGGTCTAGAAGCCGGAATTCAGCTGGCCGAGTTTGAACGTTTCTAGGCCATGTTAGGGGTGCAAGTTGGACGAGCCTACTGTGGCCGAATTTCGAGCTCTACTAGGGCCAAGTAGTTCATAAAAATTGACGAGCCTACTGTGGCCTAGCAGCAGAAGACCAGCTGACCGATTTTTCCCCATTTCTAGGCCACGTTAGACGTAACAGCCAACGAGCTTAGTGTGACCGAGTTTTGCAATTTTCTTGGTCATGTAAGCCATACGGCTTGGCAAGCCTACCGTGGCCGAATTTTCCAATTTTCTAGGTCACGTTATTCGTACAATTGGACGAGCCTACTGTGGTCTAGAAGCCGAAAACCAGCTGGCCGAGTTTTGATCATTTCTAGGTCACAAATTTCCAAAAGTTTCCAATTTTTAAACCAAATTTACATTCTGAAACGTCGAGTGCTGCGCGCTGACTTGTAGATGGTCCAACGCGATAAAGCTGGCGGATCGACCGCGAGCGAATAGCATTTTTTGTAGGGGAATCTGAGTAGCTGACAAGAACAGAATAGAATGAAAAAAGACCCGACTCGGAGAGGCTTCAGAATTCTAAATGATTTTCGATTTTTTGGAGAAAACGAAGACGTCGTTTAGTTGAATAAAAAGCAGAAGACGTCGTGGAAGAAGGCGAAGACGTCGAAGAATAAAGAAGTGCTCCAACCGGAAGAGCGGGCATGTTGCGCTGTGCTTCCTTTATTTTCCCAAAAATTTAGGGTCCAAATTTTCAAATTTTCTCGATAAGAAGTGGAAAAAATAGGCAAAAAATTCGTGCACTAAAAAATCAAGAATTCAAAAAATAAGCCCCGCCCCCTCCCCAAGCCCCGCCCCCAAAAGCCCCTTCCTTACATGTTCCTCATCCTCATCGGACCACTCATCATCGAAATCGTCGTTGTTGGAAAGCGCCGGATACGAAGCACGTGGCACTTCTGGAAGTGACGTGGCAGATGGATGGGCGGCCGCTTGATAGGCTGGTGCCGCTGGCTCCGCCCCCCAATCGTCGTTGTAGTTTCGGGATGATGGGATGAAGCTGCTTGACGATTGTGGTGCCACTTGGGGTAGTGGTGGTGGGACGGTCTGGAAAAATGGGATTTTTTGGGTTTCTAGGCCAGACTGGAGTTTTCTAGGCCAGCTGAACTTTTTAGGCCATTGTTCATAACTCTATTAAAACCTGATAATTTTGAGCGATTCAAATTGTCAAAATGGCGCCAAAATCGATATATCAGCCTCCTAGCAGGACCCATTTAACTTGAGCCCATATATCTCGGCTTCTATCAGAGACATCAAAAATCTGTCAACTGACAAAATGCTAACCTTGTTATTAGCTACATTTTTTCAGTTGACGATTTCTTGATATCGTTAACAGAAAGCGAGATAATTGGGCTCAACGTTGGTTGGCAGTTTGGTTGGCAGTTTGGCTGATCGAGCTACAGTATCAGTTGAGCCAAGTTATCTTGCTTCCTGTTATTAATACCAAGAAACTGTCAACTGACAAAATGTTAATCATATTATCAGCTACATTTTACCAGTTGACCAATTTTCGATATCGTTAACAGGAAGCGATATAATTGGGTTCCAAATTTGAGGCTCAAAATCGATGGTTAGGGGGCTCTTCTATTAGAGGCTTAACGGTTTTTTCTAGAATACTTTTCTGGTCATTCTGCTTGTAGCTATGACCTAGAAGCTATAAGCTATGAACTAGCTAGCTTATCCTATTACATGTTTCCATCCTGCTCCTCCAGCAAGTTTAGGGCGATGCTCATCCTTCTGATGACGTGGCACCATCTCCTCCTCCTCCTCCATCAACGCTATCGGCATCGGCGCCCGCTTCTTCGGCGACGATGAGCTCTCCGCTGCTGGCTTGATCAGCGTACTACACGTATGACGTCGAAGCATCTGCTTCCGTCGTCGCTCCAGAAGCTGTCGATGCGCTTCGTCAGACGACTGACCGCCGGGATAGTTCTCCACGGCTTTGCGTAGCGACGAGGTGAACAGCATTGCGAGAATTTTACTGGAATGGAGCTAGAATAGCTGAGAAAGGGAGTAGACGAAAAAGAAGAAGACGTCGAAAATTCAGAATTCCAAAAGAAGCAGACCTAGATATTTCGGGCCGAAACATTCGGGTCGCCTAGGAGATCCGATTTTGGGAAATTTTGACATTCCAGAATATTCGAAAATGTTCAAATTGGTCAAATTTCAATGAAAAATTGAAGAAATTTCTGGAAAAATGGCATTTTTTCTCAGAGAAATTCCGGAAAAAAATTGCAGAAATCTCAGAAAATTCTAGAAAAATGGCTGAAAATGCCACGTGGAATTGGATTCAGAGTCTATTAACCTAAAAATTCAGAGTTCTTCGAGAATTTCGGCCCTTTTGCTAGATTTTTTGCCACGTGGCACATCGACTAACGACCGAAAATTTAAAAGGGCGGAGCCTGAAATAAGCTCCGCCCACCCTCAAATTTTCAGACGTGGCAAAAAAGCTAGCAAAAATCCAAAAATTCTCGAAACAACCTCAGAATTTTCAGGTTATAATAGACTCTGATTCCGATTCCACGTGGCATTTTCAGCCATTCTTTCAAGAATTTTCTGAGAAAAATTTCAAATTTTCCAGAAATTTCTGTTATTTTTCGATAAAATTAACCAGAATTTTTCGAATTTTCAGCGGAAAAAACGTGCGTTTCAATAGAAAAAATCTTGACGAAAATGTCTCAAATCGTTGTAGACGGGAAAAAAAACGGTGATTGTTTTCCATTTTTAGGTTTTTCTTTTAGGGGAGGATCCTTTTGGGTTATCCCATGGGACACCCTTCTCCCCAAAAAAAACCAATTTCAAAATAGTTTTTTCCCTTTCCCTTGCCTTTATGCTTCTTGTATTGTTGTTGGAACACAAGCGACAACTCAAAAGATGATGTTTTTATATGCATTTTTGAGTTATTCCTGATGGTTCCCTGTCGGCGGCGAGATGAGAGATCCAGAGAGAGTGTGGTGGAGGAGGAGAGACGCAGACAGAGAGCGAGAGAATGGAATTTCAATTTTTCAATCATTTCGCCGGACTCAATTTAGACGAGAAAGCCGGGATGGAAAAACAAGAAAACAAGAAGGAATTGGATTGGATTTTGTCTCTTTTTTCGATTTCGATTCTGCTGAAAATGAATTACCGGTGGAGGCTGGGCTCCGGCTCGTTGTGCTTGGTACGGAGTGACGTACGCTTCTGGGAAGAGCCCCACCGATCCACGAGCGTTTCGACCTTCCATCCAACCGCCGTCGATGCTCTGGAAGAGGATTTTTATAGGGGAAAGGGGATTTGGAGGGAAATTTGAATTTTTTGGGATTTTTGGGCAGAAAATTGGAAAAAAAAATGCTAAAAATCACAGTATTTTTTAAACTGAAAATTGGGAAAAAATCGAAAATTTTCAGCAAAATTTCACTGGATTTTATACGAAAAATGCTGAAATTTTGGAATTTTCCGCAAATTTTTCAGCAAAATTCACTGAATTTATTGTCAGAAAATTGACATTTTTCAGCGAAAATTGAAGAAAAACGATATTTTTGAAAAACACTTTTTCAAAAATCCGGCAGAAATTTTCGATTTGTGCGCCCTTTTTTTCAGATTTTTAGCTTAAAATTTGCCATTTTCTTCTCTTTTTGAATATTTAAAAAACCGCCGAACCTCTCGAATAACCGTGAGCACATCTCCAGCTCGTATACTAATTTCGCCGGAATTCGGCTGCGCATCAAAGTCGTATTCCGCCTTCACCTGCACCATTTTTTTGCTGCAAAATTTAACTTTTAGGCCAAAAATCAAGATTTTCTCGGAATTTATCATTAAAAAAGGCGAACAGGAATGGAGCGGAAAAAATCAATTAATCGCCGATAAAAAATTAAACAATGAGTCATAATATTGGAGGCAGACACAGGGAAAAAACTCGTGATGAGGAAGAATAATATGATGACGATGGACAGTGGAGGTGTCGAATTTCCAACTTTGGCGGGGAATATTGAATTTTAAAAATAAAATAATATATTTTTTCAGACAGAATTTTTGAAACATTTTTTCTTATCAGCTTCTGCAAACAATGATAATTTCAAAAGTTTGATATCTTTCCAGTTTTTTTTAAAAGATGAATTCTGAATTCCAGCTGCCATTTACACCCGTTGCTAGGTGCCTCTTTTCTGCAAAAAACGCGCAGAGAAAAAAGAAAAAAATCCGTTACGAAATTTGTGATTTCGCAACACAATACAGTTTCCTGCTGGCTTCCTCATCGTTTTTTATTCGTTTAACGAGCGCAAAAAGAAGCTTTATTGTCGCCCCGCGAAACACAAACACATGTGTGACCGACGAGTCGCAGAGAAGAAGTGAAAACCGAACACAGAATCGGCGATTTGAAAAAAAAATCAAGTTTTTTGGGCCTAAAACCGGTTTTGTCTTCAGTTCTTCTTGGTTTTTTCTCGAGATTCTCTTGATTTTTCCTCATATTCTTCAAATTTTCGGCGGTTTTCCCAATTTGATTTTCGAATTCTCTTAAAAATTCTAAAATTCCCGCCGCTTTTCGCCGAGAAAAAGAGGCACAGGCGGCGCGAAATTAAAGGCGCAAGCGATTCGAGGTGCGGCGGGTTTCGCCGCGAACGCGCTTTTTCTCTGCACCCTCCATTCGAAAATGCTGTCTCGTCGCGTCGCGGTCTCTTTTTTCGCATAGAAATTGTCGTTTTTTCTCACGGCTTTGGTGGGAAACTATTCGAAAATTGTGTGAAAAGTCAATAAAATTCATTCAAAAAATAGTTTAAATATTATTTCGGACATTATTTCGAACAACTTCGTCGATTTTCGTCTCCACGGCTCGCCTAAAAAATTCGAATTTTTTCCGCTGCACACACATCGTCGCTGTTTTGGACTTCATCAACCCATTCTACATTTCCTAACATTTCAGAACAAAAAACGATGTCTCAATTCGGAGGCGGTAAACCGCCCGGTCAGTGGCATCGTCCAGCTGCGCCAGGCGGAGCTCCACAACTCTCCGGCTTCCCCACCGTCAATTTCGGCGGTGTTCCAATGGTCGGCATGGGCGTCCCAATGGGAATGGTCAATCAGGCGGCGTTCTCCTCGCCAAACGTTCTCGGCATGCAAGGAATCATGGGCGCCGTCCCACAACAACAACTCGGTCAACAGCAGCCGGTAATAGTTCGTGTTTAGAAGTTTCGAGATGGAGCAGAGCATTTTCAGAGTTTCCAACAGCAAAACGGTCTTCAACAGGGCGCCGCAAGTCTTCAACAAGGAACTGGGGCGAAGAATCAACGAACTTTCGTCGGCGTTGTCACTAAAATGCTAGACACTTACGGATTCGTCGATGATGATGTCTTCTTTCAGCATAGGTTCGGGGATATTGAATACAGAAAAAGAAAGAACCTTTTTTCATTTTTTCAGCGTTATCCGAGGGTCCCATCCTCGCGTTGGCGACAAAGTCATGGTCGAGGCCAACTACAACCCTTCGATGCCTTTCAAATGGAACGCCTACAGAATCCAGCTTCTGAACGCCGCCACTCAACAAGACCAAGTTCGTCAGGCGCCACCACAGCAGCAACTCCCACCACAACGTCAGGAGACGCAGCGTTGGGGAGGTAATCAAGCGGCGAACGATCGAGGTGATCGAAATGGGCGGGGAAACGAATCCCCACTTCACCGCTCCAACGCCCCACGTCGTCACTCTCCACCGCCACGAAGACAATCCCCTCCACCACGTCGCAGTAGTCCGAAGAGACAGCCAAGGGAGTCTAGAAGATCTCCACCGCCACGTAGAGCATCTCCACGACGAGCTGCTTCGCCAGCTGTGCAGCCAGCTAAGAATGATAGAAAGCGAGAACGAAGTCCGAGTGGAAGTGTAGCTCTATCGATCCGTCGTGATAGTGCTAGTCCACCTCGAAGACGTGCCAGAATAATTCCACGTTACGAGTGTCGTATTCAGAAGCCCACCCTTTTATCCCAAATTGTCTCTGGCTCTGTTCTCCGTCATCGCTACTCGAAGCTCTATCTTCCATCAGACTACGTGGATCTCAGTTTCGATTGGGTTCGTACTATTCAATTGGATATGTCCATGGACCTGAACAACGCCATTCAATTCCACGTGTTCAATAAAGATGTCGATTGGATTGGAGATGCTCTTCCGGAGCTCGAGCCAGAGGATGCGGATCATCGTCATCAGGTGAAGGTGTTGCTGCTTTCGCACGCTGGAAAGACTGAGGTTGTCAAGAAGTCATTCTGTTTGATGGCCGATGGTACTACGGATGATCATCAGGAGCCGCAGAGCTTGTTGAAGAACTTGCATTTTCTTGTTGGTAGGTACTAGGTTGGGATTTCTAGGCCACCAAACCCAAAATCTGGGGTTTGGCCTAGTTTTGAATTTCTAGGCCACCGAAGTGACTTTAGGGATCTTAGGCCATTTAAACGAAAATTCAAATGACGGCCTAGTTTTGGGTTTCTAGGCCAACCGAACCGAAATTTTTCGTTATAACCTGATTTTGGATTTCTCGGCCATCTAAACAAAAATTTGAATTATGGACTTATTTTGGGGTTTCTAGGCCACCAAAGCCAAACTCTGGATAATTGCCTAATCTTGGATTTCTAGGCAACCAAGGCAATAGATCAAAAATAGCCTAATTTCGACATTCTACGAAAATTTTAGGTATGGCCTAGTTTTTAGATTTCTAGGCCATCTAACTCAAAATCTGGGCTATGGCCCAGTTTTGGATTTCTAGGTCACCAAGCTAAAAATCTGAAAAATGACCTAGTTTCGGGCTTCTAGGCCACCAGAGCCAAAATCTCCAAATAGTCTGGTTTTAGGCTTCTAGACCACCGAAGTCAAAATCTCAGTCATAGACTATTTTTTGGTTTTCTAGGCCATCAAACTAAAATTCTGGAAGATTTCCCATTCTAGGCCGCCGAACCCAAAACCTGGGTTGTGGCCTAATTTCGGAATTCTAGGCCATCAAAGCCAAAAAATGGGGTTTCACCTAGTTTTGGATTTCTAGGCCACCAAAGCGGAAATGTTAAGTATGACCGAATTTTGGATTTCTTGGCCGCCAAACCCAAAATCTGGAATGTGGCCGAGTTTTGGGTTTCTTGGCCATCCAAACAAAAATTTCATTGAAGACTAGATTTGGATTTCTAGGTCATCTCAATCTCTTCAATTTCCAGGCGCTCGTGGCAAAGAAACCATGGGAATCGGCGGTAGCTGGTCTCCATCGCTCGACGGAGCCGACCCAACCTCCACGACCACTATGATCCGTACTGCGGTCCGCACGACTCGTGCGCTCACCGGAATCGACTTGTCGTCAGTTTCTCAGTGGTAAGTTTCTATATTTTTTGGGATTTTTTTCAAATTAGGAGCCCAGGTGATTATTCTATGTGTCCAATTCTCTCTCTCTCTAAATCTCTAAATCTCACACACTCTCTCTCTCTCCAAAAAGTGTCAGAAGCTGAAGATGATCCATCTCTTGTCTCTCGAATATCATTTCGCATTAAAAACACGACACAGGTTCTCAATGGTGCAAATTCGCTACTACCGTGCCGATAAGCAGCGCATAGATCACGTCAACTTCCTGCTGCCCGACACCCAATCATTGGCACTAGACGATGCGACGTGGAGCAGTGCGGAGGCGTCGATTGGCGAGCAGCTCAAGGCGAAACTCGCCGAAGTCGACGCGTTGAAGATTGAGGAGGAACCAGAGGTGGTCGAGATGGTTGAAGCAGTGGAACCAGCAGCAGAAGTCGTCGTCACTCCAGAAGCCGCCGTCGTCACCGCGGAGACAGTGGCGGCTCCAGAAGACGCTCCATCGGATGTCAAGGAAAGTATCGTCCTGTTATATATGGTTATATATGGGGTTTTTCTTCTTCCGACGTGATGTTTCTATTTTTGGTTCTATACTATTTTTGTGCTGTTTGCTGTCCCTGTGTGATACGCTTTTACCCCGCCCAACTGCATGTCTATTATACCATTCCAGGAAAAACTATCTTTGAAGAAACTAAGATATCACACACATTTTTATAGGAAAACGTCTTATTTTTTGGAGCAGAAGAGCCTTGGCTCTTTCTGACGCTCTTCCCCATGTCCTTCCTCTACGAACCTTTCTAATTTTAGGTGGAAAATGAGAACGACGTGAGCATGAACAGCGAGACCGGAGAAGCTGACAAGCCAATCGTGGCTGGACAAGGGCCCACGAATTGGAGCAAACTGGACCCGAAGAGTATGAAAGTTGCGGAGCTTCGAGTTGAGTTGGAGCTGCGTGGATTGGAGACGAAGGGGATTAAGACGCTTCTGGTCCAACGTCTTCAGACAGCTCTGGACAGTGAGAAGTCGACCGAGGCGGCGGCGTCGAAAGATGTGGAAATGAAGGATGTGAAGGATGAGGTGAAGCAGGAGGCAGGAGCAGTCGCTGGAGAGGAGAATCCGGTAAGTTTGATCACTTTGGAAACCTATAATTTGGCGGAAATTTCATCTAGAAACCTCTGAAAATTCTAGAGTCCGCTAGCCAGTTTCAGCCGAGTCTAAAGTTGGCCAAAATTGGAAAAAATGGAAAAAATGCCTCTAAATGGTTTGAATAGGTCGAAAATAATCTAAAATGGCTTAAAATGGTTCAATGTTAGCCAAAATTAATCTAAAATTGACCAAAAATGATCTAAAATTGGCCAAAAACGATCTAAAATGGCTGTAAATGGTCCAAAATTGGCCTAAAATGGTCAGAAACTGGCAAACGAATTCTAAAATTTTCAGAAGTGTCTAGATGTGATTTCCTTTGTCTATCCTAACATTTTCATAGAAATCTAATTTTTAGATATCACAATGAACCATTTACCTATTCTTCCCATTTCAGGCAGCCTTCATAGCCCCACCTATAGAAGAGACCAAGGCCAAAACCGAAGCAGAGGCTAAAAAAGAGCAAGAGGAGGCGGATAAGAAGAAAAAGAAGGAGGAGCAGCTGGAGAAGGAGAAGAAGGATAAGAGAGACGCTCTTGAGAAGCACTATCAACTTCCAAAGGACAAGAAGGTCCTGGTTTTCCCATCCAAAACGTTCAAATCTGGAAAATTCGACTGCAAAGTGTTGAGTTTGAGCTCGCTGCTTGACTATCGTCATGATGATAACAAGGAGAGCCAATTTGAAGTTTCGCTCTTCGCGGAGGCTTTCAAGGAGATGATTGAGCGGAATTCGGCGTTCACGATTTATGAGACGCTGGTCAATTGTGGAGATCGGGATGCGGAGAAGAAGAGGAGAGATGAGGCGAGAGAGAAGACGGTGGAAGTAGTGGTTCCAGAGGCTTCAGAGGATGCTAAAGCTAAGACAGAGGGAACCGAGGAGAAGAAGGAAGAGGAGAAGGAGGTGAAGAAGGAAGAAAAGAAGGAGAAGGTGGAAGTCAAGTCAGTTGTTGCCAATCGCACTGTCTATGAAGCATTCTCGCTCTTCGACGCCAATCTCTGTGGATACATCACTGAAAAAGACATAGAAGAGATTCTGTACCATGGAGAGTTTGGAATATCCCGGGGACAGATTCAGAAGCTCGCTAAGAAGCTGTCAGTTAGAGATAGGATCAACTATCGTCATCTGACTGATGTGCTTACTGATATGGATGGAAATGTTAGACACACTCCGGGAGGTGCTGATGACGTCGTGGAGACGGATGACTTGATTCGTGGATATGGTGTGAATCTGGCGAAGAGTCTTGAAGTTCCAACTTCCGATGCTGCTGCCTCTGCTACAGTGGGATCTGATGGAGTGGTGATTATCAATGGAGCCGCCGTGAATGTTGGGCAGAAGTTGAAGATGTTGAAGCAGGTGGAGAAGGAGAGAGACGAGGCGAAGGCGACGGTTAATGAGCAGATCTCGTTGATTGGTGAGTTTTGAGACTTTATTGGCGCTGATAATCGTCTAGAAATGAGCTGAAATTTGGTCGAAAATAGACTAAGAATCATTAAAAAAGTTAAAATTTGGCTCAAAACGATGTTTGACCGATTTCAACTCATTTCAGACTAAGAATCTGCTGACATTAGCTTGAAAATAGGCTAAAAATGATTTTCTGTACTTTTTAAAACGATTTTTGGCCTAATAGTAACCGATATATGGTATTTTCAGTCTATTTTTGACGAATTCTGGCTTCTCTTTGGTTCAATTTTAACCTAAAAATATTGATTTTAACGAAGAATTTATCGAAAATGGGCTAGAATTGATCCGAAAAAACCGAATTTTCAGTAAATTCTGGCTGATTTTTGGTCGATTTTTAAAGCTAAACACCATTGAAAAGGAACTAAGATTAGGCTGAAACTCGACGAAAAACCAATTTTCCTCCAAAATCCAAAAATCTAATTTCCAGACCAACTCCGCGAGGCGAAGGCTGAAATTGAAAAGAAAAAGAAGGACATCGACGCTCACTACCACAAATCCAACAAGAAATTGAACGAGACAACAGCTCAACTCAAGACCTCCCAGGACGATAACTCATCGTTGAAACAGGCCCTCCAGGACTGTAAACGACACGCGGATCGCATTTTTTCGGTAGTGGAGAAGGCGATGCCGGCGCCCAAGAAGGAGAAGGTAGGGATTTTTGATGAAAAAAAGAACTGAAAATCAGAGGAAAACCCCCGATTTTGCGTATTTTTGCGTCCCAAAATCATAATATTCAAATTTTTCTATGGAAAAAATATGGCTAAAAATCGAGTTAAAATGACGAAAAGCTTAAAATTTGATTTTAAAAATGGCTGAAACTTGGCTTTAAATGACTGGTTTTGGCTCATTCTCGTCTTAAAATCACGGAATGAATGGAATCCTTATTTATGGAAAAATGGCTGAAAATCGGTTAAAAATGACTGATTTTGGCTCATTTCAGGATTAAAATCACAAAATTTAAGCCTTTTTTAGGGGAAAATGGCTAGAAATCATCTTTTTGCTCATTTTCCGTCTGAAAATCTTAGAATTCATTTATTTTTCCAGAAGGAGGAAAAGGAGAAGTCCGCCGAGAAAAAAGACGAGAAATTGGCTGAAAAAACAGCTGAAAAACCGGCAGAAGAGGCCTCCACGACGACTACAGCCGCTTCTGAATCCGCCACGTCTACAGTATCCGCCGCCCCCGCTGAGCAATCATCCGCCGCAGAGCCAATCGCTATTGATGAGCAATCATCTGAAGAGAAGCCAGAAGCATCAGCTGAGGAAAAGAAGGAACAATAATTTTGTGTTGAATTTTCGATATTTATTTAATTTTTAAAAAACCGTTTTTTTTTTTTTTTAAATCAAAAATTTCAAAATGATCTATATTATGATTTTTCGCGGATTTTTTTCTCTCTGTTCTAACCCCTCTATCCTCCCCCCAAAAAATGTATCTCCCTGCTCTCTGAAAATCCAAATTCAAATCCAAAAATAAAGGAAATCTGTGAATTTTGGAATTTTAGGATCGATTAGGATCATCCATTTTTATGTACTTTTTCCCCCCATTTTTAGCCCTTTTTAGAGATATTTTTAACCCAAAAATCCAGGCGAAAAAAAATGAGCGGAACGTCGACGAAGGAGAGCAGTGAGGACAACGAAGCGGTCTGGAGACACCGATGCTTCAAATGTATTCGTTGCAACGAACGAGACGACTGTAAAGTGTGTTGGCCGTGTAAATCGGGACGGACTTGTGATAAGCGGAGGTGCTTCTCGGCGAAGAAGTTGTATGAGGAATCGTGTAAGGAAGAATTTCAGATTAAACTGAAAAATGCTAAAATTTCAAAATTTGAAATTTAGAGCCCAAAAAGTGCTAATTTTCATGCGAAAATCCTGAAAGTTTGGAAAAAAACACGCTTTTAAAAAAGTATAGAAATTCGAAATTCCAGCTGAAAAAGATTTTTGTCTGGAAATTTCAAACTTTTCACAAAAATTGGCCTAAAAAATCTGGAAAAATCGCTTTTGGACGTCTCATTTTGGTTTGAAAAAATCACAGAAATTTTCAATTTTTCGAAAAAAAAAATATTCCAAAAATTGAAAATTCCAATTTCCGGAGAGCAAAGAAGGTGAAAAATTGAGCACTCCACCTGCCTGCCTGCTCGGCGATTAGCGTCTCCAGAGCAACGAGATTTTCTCATTTTCCTCCGATTTTCGTCATTTTTAGGCAACTTTTTCAGGAAATTTTGGATTTGTACGGCTGGAAAATTTATGAAAATTACCTATTTTTAACTGAAAATTACCTATTTTTGCTTAAAAATGACCTATTTTTGCCTGAAAATTACCTATTTTTGGCTGAAAATGACCTATTTTTGGCTGGAAATGACCTATTTTTGGCTGGAAACGACCTTTTTTGACTGAAAATGGCCTTTTTTTTAACTGAAAATGACTTATTTTTGCCTGAAAATGACTAATATCAGGAAATTTTTCAGAAAAATCTAAATTTCTGACGAAAAGGGAAGAAAAAATAGTCAAAAATGAGCATTTCTCCATCATCTCACTGCAAGAGGAGTTTCTCTCTGCGTCTCCTCTCTCTACAAACTATTACTCCGTTCTCTTTCTTTTTGTTCCTTTTTCCTTCTAAACGAACTTTAGCGCAGCTGGAGAAAGACGCACCCAAGGAAAGAGACAAAGAACAGGAAATGTTGTGTTTTTGGGCGCGAAATTTGAAAATATTGGAATTTTTCGGTGCTTGAGACATTTGAAAAAGGCAAAGCTTGAATTTTTTATAGATGATTTACAGTGAAAAATTCAAATTTCCCGCGTTTTTTTCCCATTTTTTTTCTGAAAATTCTTTCAAAAATTGCGTTTTCAGTGCACCGAGTCTCCCAGGAAAACCTCAAAATCATAATGGAAAAATCGGCGGCGCGCGAAGCGGCGCTCGCCTCCACGTCATCTGGACCTCTTCTTCTTCCGACGACATCCGCGCCTTCAGGTCCATCGACGTCTTCTTCAGGAGCAGGACGTCATCAGAGACCATCGACGTCTTCAGCGGTCCCATCGACATCGGCAGCACGAGAGCCCAAGAAGCGGGGACGAAAGAAGAAGAGCGAACTGTTGGCTCTACAGGAGAAGAAGATCAACGAGATGGACTATGTACCGCATCGACCAACGAGACAGCAGTCGGCCGATTTGAGGAAGAAGCGGAATCAGATTACTGTCAGTATCTGAAAAAAAAACCCAAATTTTGGTCAAAAAATCCAAAAATTATATCTCAAAGAACCAAAATTTTTGGTGATCTGGGAGATTTTGAAAATCGAAAATTCTGGAAAATTCGGCATTTTTCAACAAAACCGGTCCAGAAAATTTCTCAAATTTTCACCAAAAAATTCGAGCATTTCGGCTAAATTTGAGATTTCGAACTGCGAATTTCAGATATTTTTGACCCAGAAATACAACGAATTTCTACAAAAATTATCTCAAAAAATGGGTTTTTTGAAAGATCTAGGTGACCTAGAAAAGTCTGAAAATCTAGGTCAGAATCTAGGCCATGACCTAGAAAAAAACCTAGGCCACAGCCTTAGAATCTAGGTCATGACCTACATATATAGGTCAAATTCTGAATATCTAGGTCATGACCCAAATTTGAAAAAAAACGAATTTCGATGCAATTTTCGATGTTCCAGACAGTCCAATCGCAACCGGAACGTGCGCCTCGCCAATGTCTCAACCCGGACTGCATCTACGAATCGCGCGCCGACAGCAAGTATTGCTCAGACCCATGTGGCCTAATTCTCGCGAAAATGCGTCTCGAGGAAGTGCTCCCATTCGAGTCAAAGAATACTACACACCCGGACCCGGGGGACCCAAGATCATCGAATCCGAACTGCAAGCTCGGCAGAAGGCGGTGGATCGAGATTTGGAGCAGTTGAACGAGTGCGAGAAGAATATTAATGCGTTTTTGGAGAAGTTACAAGTGTTCATTGAGAAGCAGATTCCGCTGCAGCCTCTGGCGCCGAACGATAAGTTTGATGATAACTTGGTGAGTTTTTGAGGGGTAAAAATGCGGAAAAAGTGAGCTGGAAACAGTGCAGTTCTAAAATGTCGCAGTTTTGAAACGTCGCAGTTCTAAAACGTCGCGGTTCTGAAACGTCGCGGTTCTAAAATGTCGTAGTTCTAAAATGTCGTAGTTCTGAAACGTCGCAGTTTTGAAACGTCGCAGTTCTAAAATGTCGTAGTTCTAAAATGTCGCGGTTCTGAAACGTCGCGGTTCTGAAACGTCACGGTTCTAAAATGTCGCGGTTCTGAAACGTCGCGGTTCTAAAATGTCGCAGTTTTGAAACGTCGCAGTTCTAAAACGTCGCGGTTAAAAAATGTCGTAGTTCTAAAACGTCGCGGTTCTAAAATGTCGCGGTTCTGAAACGTCGCGGTTCTAAAATGTCGCGGTTCTGAAACGTTGCAGTTCTAAAATGTCGCGGTTCTGAAACGTCGCGGTTCTAAAATGTCGCGGTTCTGAAACGTCGCGGTTCTAAAATGTCGCAGTTTTGAAACGTCGCAGTTCTAAAACGTCGCGGTTCTAAAATGTCGTAGTTCTAAAATGTCGTAGTTCTGAAACGTCGCAGTTCTGAAACGTCGCGGTTCTAAAATGTCGCGGTTCTGAAACGTTGCAGTTCTAAAATGTCGCGGTTCTGAAACGTCGCGGTTCTAAAATGTCGCGGTTCTGAAACGTCGCGGTTCTAAAATGTCGCGGTTCTGAAACGTCGCGGTTCTAAAATGTCGCAGTTCTTAAATGTCGCAGTTCTAAAACGTCGCGGTTCTGAAACGTCGCGGTTCTAAAATGTCGAAACCGCAATTTTTTACTCAAAATCTATTTTGAAAACCATGAAAATCCTATCGAAATTTATCATTTTTGAACCTGATTTTTTCAGAAAAAGTTCCCTTTTTTCCCTTAAATTCAAAGCCCAATTTCCAGTATGAAACTTGCGTCGTGTGCGGTCTCAACGATATTCCCGTCAGAAAATATGTCAAACACATCGAGCTGTGCTGGTCTCGAAACGAAAAGCTCATGTCATTCGGAACAACCGATCGGACGCACGAGAGAATCTATTGTGAGCAGTTGGACGTACGTGCCGGAACGTACTGTAAACGACTGAAATCCCTGTGTCCGGAGCATAGAAAACCGGGAATCGAGCATTCGTTGAAAGTGTGTGGATATCCAAAGAAATGGGAGACGGGTACGGGAATGTACGCCAATTCGTTGTCAGAGTTGATCGAGGCAGAGAAGTAAGGGTTTTTTGGGTTTGGGGGGGGGGGGGGGGTGGTCTGGAGATCCGGACAGACAGACAGATAAATAGACGTGGAAAATGACTAAAAATGTCCCAAAAGAGTCAAAAAAATCTGACAAATGGGACATCCGGACAGACAGACAGACGGAAAACGGAAAAATTGCTTTCATCACCAAATTTCTTGAATTTTTTTTTTGAAAATTTAGAATTCCCGCCTGTTCTGTATTACCTAAAATCTTCAATTTTTTCAAACTTTGTGACAGAAATTGTCTCAAGAAGGTCAATTTTCTGCTCCGAAAAATGGTACCTTTGAATGCTGAAATGGTAGTACCATTATGGTACCTTTTCAAAAATAATGGCACCTTTTATCGGTATAATGGTACCTTTCAATGGTAAAACAGTACCAGAAATGGTACCTTTCATTGGGAAAATGGTACCTTTTCATGATAGTATGGTACCATTCAATAGTAAAATGGTACCTTACCGTCATAAAATGGTGCCTCTAAATAGTGAAATAGTACCTTCCAATGTTAATGGTACCTTTTATTGGAAAAATGGTACCTTTCAATGATACAATGGTACCTTATTATGGGAAAATTGTACCTATTGTTAGTAACATTATACCTTTCAATAGTATAATGGTACCTTTTTGTTGGCATAATGGTACCCTTTAATGGGGAAATAGCACCCATTTTCCCTTCAAAAACCCCACTTTTTTTTCAGTCCATTCGGCGACGAAGGATGCCGCACAAAACGCGACCTGTGCCATAAACACCATAAATGGGTCCCATCGCTCAGCGGATCGATCGAACTGGAACAGGCGAATCTGGTCGTCAAAGTGTACGAACTGTGTCAGGAGCAGAAGAATCTAAGGACCCAGTTGGATTGGTCCAATAATGCTCTCTCGATTTTGATGCACAAGCAGCCGAGTGGGTTTTTCAAGTTTTTGAGAATAGGAAAGCTTTGAAAATGACCCAAAATTTGGCGGAAAAATGGGAGAAAAAGTAGATTGAAAATGAGAGAAATCCTTGGAAAATGCTCTCGAAATGGCCCAAAACTCGTTAAAACTGCCTGAAAATTCCCTTTTTTGGCTAGTTTTGGCTCAGCTAGAATTTCAAGATTACTGTAGTTTGGAGATTACTGTATATTTTTGAAATTCTGGACAAATTGAACTTAAAAAAAAAAAGTTTTCAGATTTCCCGAATCCCGAGCTCTTCCGTGAGAGTGTCGAAGAAATGCGATCTGCTGCAGCTAGAGCCGCCGAGGATCCAGAAGATCCACAGTCGAGATCCACGTCGTCGTCAAAGACAGATGATGAGTTCGCAGAGACCGCCGATTTTATGGCAATGTTGGCTAGGCAGAATCGGGCGGCTGAGGAGGCGCAGAGAGCAGCTGAAGAGGATCCAGAAGACGTTGACGATGAGGAGGAAGAAGAGGAAGGGGGTGAGGAGCCGATGGAACAGGACGATGATGTCGACGTTGGAGGAGGACCAGAAGGAGCAGCTAGGCAAGGTAAACAAGCATCCAGTGGAGGATCCACGTCATCATCCACCACGTCGTCAAGATCTTCGACGTCGTCAACGACGTCTTCTAATTCATCGTCACCGATTGATGTGGATTAGAATTTTATTTTGGAATTTTTCAATATTTCGATTTCCCCCAAAATCAAACAAACTACAGAAAATTGACCCCAAAATGGAATTTTTTGAAATTTTCGCTGAAAACTTTTTTTGGATTTTTTTCAAAATTTTTAAATTTTTCGTAAAAATTGAAATTTTTGAAATTCCACAATTTTCATTTTTTTTTTTGGAAATTTCAAGTTTTGGCCCAATTTTTCAGAATTTTAAATACAATTTTTCAAAAAAAAAAAAATATCACAAAAAATTGGCCCAACAACTGGAATTCTGACAATTTTTGCAAAGTTTTCTTTTCGGATTTTTTTCAAAATTTGTGAATTTTGGAAACTTTTGAAATTTTAGAAAATTCAATTTTTGGCTCAAAAAACGATTTTTTGTCTAATTCGATTTGAAACTTTCAATTTTTGTAAAAAATTGAAAATTTTAAAAATCCAATTTTCAAGATTTTTGGCCCCATTTTTGAGAAAATTCAATAAAAGTTTGTCTGAAAATTGGTATTTTTGAGCCAAAAAAAATGAAAATTCGGAATTTTTGAATTTTTAAAAATTCGGATGTTTTTCTTCAAAAATTCAAATTCAAGCGATTTTTGAAAATTCCAAAAAAATTTGGCTCGATTTTCTTGAATTTTCCCGAATTTTTAGTCAATTTTTAGGGATTTTTTCAACGAATTTTTAAAAATTTTTACCCCAAAAACCGCTTTTCTATGCGCTAATACCTTCCCTATGTTGCCTACCTATCCCTCAGTCTCCCCCGTTTATCCCCTGCCGAATTGCTCATTTTGGGTTTAGCATGATTCCAGAAGCTTCTCCACCTCTACCTTCACCCGCTGACGTCACTACCGCTTCTACAACTAATCCAACACCACCACAGCTTCTTCTTCTTCTACCACCACTACCACTGACAATCGATCCTGCCGTATCGTCTGTTAATCCCACCAGCATCCCAACACCATCCCCATCGAAATCTCAGAATTTCTCGATTTCCCGCCTTTTGGAATGATTTTTCCGTTTTCTAACCTCGAAAATTTGAATTTTCCGTCTTTCTTTTACCCCCCAAGTCTTGGTTCTTTTCCCAGTTTTTTCGGTTTCTAACCTTCAAAAAAATTTGAATTTTTCATTTTTCCCGCCTATTTTTAACACGGAAATTTGATTCCCCCCCCCCTTTTTTTTCAAATTTCCCGCTAATTTTCCCTCCATTTTCCCTTATTTTCCTGTAATTTCCCACTAATTTCTAGCCTAAAAAGGCGCGTATTTTTGACCGCTTTTTATTTGATTGTCCCTATGTGGCGAGAGAGTGAGAGACGCGGACGCAGCAGACACACAATTTTCTAACGACACGTCGCTTTGCAACGTGGCTTTTTGATGCTGACTGTCTACTGCTGCCCCGAGACACTCACTAATTTATTCGTATTTTTTGTTTAAATTTGAATTTTTTCCTTAAAAATTTCCGGATAATTTTTTAAAAATTCCCAAAAAAATCGAAAAAATTTAATTTTTTTCACTTTTCTCCCCCGATCCTCATGTTTTTTCTCATTTTTTTTCCGATTTTTTTCTCATCACTCGGTTCCTATATTTCCTATTTTTATGTCATTTTCTTTGCGAATAAAAATTCTGTGTCAAAATCTGAAAATTCCCATTTTTTAATCGATTTTTTCATTTTTATATCTGTAACTTCCGGAGCCACGCGGCTGTTTTAGGTATTTTTCGCCGATTTTTAGCCAAAATGTTTCGAATTTCTTGCCCGATTTTTTCAGATGAGCTCTCCGAAGACGATTCTGGTGTTTGATGTAGATGGAACACTGACGGCGGCGAGACAGGTGATTTTTGAAAAAAAATTTGGATTTTCCCTGAAAATTTCGGATTTTCATCAGCTTTTTAGGCATAAAAACTGAAAAATTCGGGCTTTTCAAGCCTAAATTCTCCCAGAAAAGTCCATTTTTCAGGGAATCACCGCAGAAATGCGCGAATTTCTCGCCGAGACCCGCAAACGCGTTCCGTTGGCTGTTGTAGGCGGTTCGGACTTTAAAAAGATCACCGAGCAGCTTGCAGGACACGATAGGGATCTTTGTGAGTCGGAAATCCTAAAAAAATCCCCAAAACATTCGGGAAAAATCGCTGAAAAACCAAAAAATTTGCTGAAAAACCACTTTTCCACGAGGACTACACTGTGTTTGGGATGTCAGGCCATGGGAGTTTTCTAGACCGCGGCCTCGTCATTTTTTTGGCGCAAGTTTGAATTTTAAACGATTTTCCGCGAATGCTTCAGTTTTCACTGATTTTTTCTGTTAAAAACCGAATTTAAAAAAGTGTTTTCAGTTTTTGAAAAAGTGTTTTCAGTGCTCTCCTCGTTCGACTACGTCTTCTCAGAAAATGGCTTGCTGGGATTCAAGGGCACCGACGCCTTCCCAGTCCAATCGATTCAAAAAGCCATCGGCGATGAGAAACTTCAGGAGTTGATCAATTTTGCCCTCCGCTACATGTCGGAAATTCGGCTTCCGAAGAAACGTGGAAATTTCGTCGAATTTCGCAATGGAATGATCAATTTGTCGCCGATTGGGAGGAGTTGTTCCCAAGAGGAGCGAATGGAATTTGTGAAGTTTGATTCGGAAAATGGGATTAGGTTGAAGTTCGCGGAGGAGTTGAAAAAGAATTTCGGCAAATGTGGGTTGCAGGTAAGATTTAAAAATTTGAAAAAAATGCTTTTCAGTTGAAAAAAAATTTTTTCCAAAAAATCCAAAAAAAAATCATTATTCCAGTTTGCAATCGGCGGTCAAATATCGGTCGACGTCTTTCCTACCGGATGGGACAAGACATTCTGCCTACAGTACTTTGAGAACGACTACGATGTCATTCACTTCTTTGGTGATAAGACCGCGCCGGGCGGCAACGACCATGAGATTTTTGCCGATGAGAGAACGATTGGGCATACTGTAGAGGGACCGGAGGACACCAGGAAACAAGTGGAGGCGGTGCTGAATGCAATTTAATTTGTCCTTGTGGATGATTTATTTTTTGCTGATTTTTAAATTATTTTTCATATTTATTTGGTCTTTTTTGGCATTTTTGTGATGATTTCATTTTAATTCTGTTAATAAATTGGTGGTTTTCAAAATAATTCGTCTTTTTTCCATAAAAAACGCTGAAAAACCGAGAAAATTCGCTGAAAAACGTCTTTTCCACGAGGACTACACGGTGTTTGGGATGTTAGGCCATGGAGTTTTCTAGGTCGCCGCTGGGATTTTTCGGCGCGAGTTTGAATTTCGAACTGTTCTTTTTTTGTATTTATTTTGCGATTTCTAGTATTTTATAGAATTTTTATTGAAAAAATGAACAAAAAATAATTTTTTGAAGCAAATTTTAAATCCAAATATCGGAAGTACAATCTCCTCCTGGATAACGCATCTCATGAGCCAAATATGGGCCGCCGGGGACTTTTCCAAAATCGATGAGGAAATTTTTATTGATTACCATGTGTCCCGTAATCGGATCAACGTCAATTTGGAGCATTGTGGCGCCGGATCTGGAATTATTTTGAAAGTTTTGAAATTTTGGATTTTTGGGTTTTACCTGAAAATCGTCATATTTAGAGACCTAAAAAAGCGTCTCAGAATTTTACGATTCGTCTGAAATTTTCAGAGCATACTGTACAAAAATAAGGCTTTGATTTTGTAGTTGACAAATTTTTTCTAGCTGCCGTAGTTTTTGAGATATGCGCCTTTAAACATGGCTAGTTCTGGAAGTTTCTAGCTCAATCTAGAGGGCTCTCCCTGTTTAAAGTCGCCTATCTCAAAAACTACGGTAGCTAGAAAAAAGTTGTCAACTACAAAATTAAAGTTTTATTTTTGTTTAGTGTATTTTAAAATTTTCAGAAAAAGTAAAAAAATTTTGGAATACTTTTTTAGGACCAAGGTTGAGTGTTATAATAACGTTTGTCAGGTACGCTCTGTTTAAAGACGCATATCTCGAAAACTACGGTAGCTAGAAAAAAGTTGCAAACAATAAAATTAAAGCTCTATTTTTGTTTAGTATACTCTGAAATTTTCAGACAAATTGGAAAAATTCTAAAACACTCACCTCACATTCTCCGGATAGAACTGATCATCCCACTTTTTATACAACGACGTCGACACGTACAACCTCTTCCCATCTAGAGACAACTGCAGCATCTGTGGACCACCCTCGATTTGTCGACCCTTGACGTAAAGGGCTGGAATCTCATCATGATCTTCTTCCAGGACCTTCACAGTTGTCTCTGAATGAATACTTCCTCCAATAAAGACTTGAGAATTGAGCTTAGGGTTTTTTGGATCCGAAATGTCGTATTGTCGAATATCACCATGAAGCCAACAGGACACATAAAGGAATCTGTCATCCATGGAGATTAGGATATCAGTGATAAGGGCTGGCATATCGGGTAGTGCCCAGTTTTCGACTTTTTTCGACGGGATAGTGGCGACAAGGCTGGCAGTTTGGACTTTTGGGTTCTGGAATTGGCTTTAGTTAGGCGATCATTAGTTTCCAATTATCCTGCTTTTTGTGACAAAATGTTTATCTTAGTTACTTTTCGATACCTTTTGCAGGAACTGAGATAAATTGTGCCAAAGTTGATAGTTGTTTGGAAATTGCTTTGAATTTTTTACGGTATCTTACTCTTAATTTAGGTGTTCTACATATTTTCAAAAATGTGAATCTGTTGAGACCTTGTTCTTGAATACGTCTCGAAATCTGAGCTATGACCAACACAAAAATTAGATTTTCAGCTTATTTTGTCCATTTGAGATACTGTAAAATCGGTGGTTACAGTATCGCTCTAAAGAAATCAAAATTATATTGAATTTAGAAGTAAGATGTAGGCGTAGCATCTACTTCGACCCAATACATCTCAGTTCCTGTAATAGATATCAAGTATCTGTCCACTAACAAAATGTTTACCATATTATCAGTAACATTTTATCAGTTGACTACGTCTTGATATCTTTCACAGGAAATGAGACAAATTGAGTCAAAGTTGATAGTTATTTGGGAGCTTAAACATTCAGAATTTTTCACGGTTGATTGTGTATGAAATATAACAAATTGAAATATTGTTTTTGTTACATTGCACGGCGATTAATTTTGAAAATCGAGTTTTTCTGATTTTTTTTTTCTGATTTATTGGCGCTTTTCTCGATACAGTGAAAAATCAGCTTTTTCGGCATAAATAAATTCTGGGTCAAACATTTTTTTCAAAATAGGTAGAGATTGTAGAGAATTTGAAGACAAACAGAATGAGCTAAAAAATGTCAATTTTGACCCAAAAATAAAGGCCCTGATAGATTTTCTAAAAAATCAACTGAATTTTGTCATTTTTGAAGCTCTTCGAGGATTTTCGAAAAACCTGTTGATATGATGAAAATAGGTAGAATTTGTGCAGAATTTTACAACAATTTTTTTGATACTAAAATCAACTCATAAAAATTAGAATTGATAAGATTAACCCCTGATAGGATTTGAAGCAGTCAGATTACTGTAGATTTGAGGGGAAATTATAATTTTTGCTCAAAATTCTCTGCATTTTTATTTGACTTGTTATTTTTGGCGTGGAATTTTCGGCATGTATTGGCGTTGAATGATCTAGAAGAGAGGAAATTGAGAGAAAAAAAGTGATACCCAGAGCCTCAAATCCCTTACTATGTCGGCTCACGAACAAATTAATTTCTTTTGAACTTTTTGAATTTTGCTTTTTTATCCATGCACGAGAAAAGCGCCAGCAATCGCCGTTCCACGTTTTCACAAATTGTTTGGCGTGCATTGTGGTGTATTTGCAAATCAAAAACACTGCTCAATCATTATTTACAGTATCTCTATAAAAAAAAAAGAAATATTTGACTTTTTCAGTAAAAAATAGCCAACTTTTGGGCCCTACAAAACTATTCCAGAGATTTCCCATTTGCATGAAAACTTCCAATCAAAGTAAACATAAATATTACTTTACTTTAGTAGTAGATAACTTTTTTCTAGCTACTCTATTTTTTGAGATATGCGCCTTTAAACAAAGCATCCTGGCAAACGTTTTAGAAAAAGGTAGAAACATCTCAAGATAGCACTGTTTAAAGTTTAAAGGCGCATATCTCAAAAACTACGGCAGTTAGAAAAAAGTTTTCAATTAGAAAATTAAAGATCTATTTTTGCTTAGTATAACCGAAAATTTTCAGACAATTCGAAATATTATAGAATACTTTTGTAGAACTTCAAAGTTGGCTATTTTCCAGGCACTGTAGTCATAGTGTTTTCCAAAAAAAATTTTTATCAAAAAATTTTTTCTGATTCACATCGATCCTAAAATCCTACTTGTTCTACTGAATTAATGATAGGATCGTATCGAAATACAACGCTTTTAGGATAATTCGAGGTACGGAATTCCCAAAAAAAAACTAAAACAATTTTTTGTAACCCCAAATTGCTATACCCTCCAAGTTTACTGCCTACTTCTACCGTACCCTTACCTTCTCATCCGGATGAATTCTGAAAATCGCCGAGCCCAATGCACAACCAACAAACGCGTGCTCACTGGTTGGCTCATGAAGGAATCGAACTTCCAGAGGCAATGCACCACGTGGCATTGGCAAGTCAATGGTTTGGAGGTGCTTCTTGGTATCCCATTCAAAGATATGCACACTGTTTCCATAGAGACCTTCTGGCACGTGAGCTGGAATTTTTTTGGATTAGCCAAAGCTCAAACTACCGTAAAACCTCTAATAGAACGACACCCGGATCGTCCACTTTGAGCCTATATATCTCACTTCTTTTAAAAGATATCAAAAAGTGGTTAACTAGTAAAATGTTTATCAGGATATCAGCAACATTTTACTAGTTAGCCACTTTTTGATATCTTTCACAGAAAATGAGATATATAGGCTCAAAGTGGACGATCCGGGTGTCGTTCTATTAGAGGTTTTACGGTATGTGAAATTGTTTATGATGATCTACTTCTTACTAAGAAAACTTTTCTGTGTGTGTGTCTGTGTGTCCGTCTCGGACATTTACTTGAATAACTCCAAAGGGCATGGGACTCCTATAATGGTGTGTGGTATGTAGCCATGGACTACCGAGCGCTTCATGTCCATGGTGTCCTGGGCCTTCTAGCTAACCGGGAACCTATAGGGTTGAGAATCGAAAATTTCAAAATTATGTTGAAACTCACTAAAACTTCAGGGAATTCTCAAAAACGGTTTTCAGGCCTATCTATGTGCTGCCCACAAAAAATTGGGCTGAAAGCTTCGCAACAGAATTTTTTTGTAACATTTTTTTCGTGATTAACTCAAATTCTGTGACCTACTGTAAATTTGGTTGCCGTGTTTTTTCTCGACTGCAAAACATTCTAGAGAATTCCAGGACAGTTTAGAATACTCTCGAAAGCTCTACATCATTCCAGAAAATTCTAGAAAATTCCAGAACATTAAAAATTCCAGAACAGAAAATTCCAGAACGGCGTAGCCGCGAATTTTCACTGGTTTAACACTAATGAGAAACAGAAATTCTTTCGGAAATTTTTTTGGTCGGTTTTTGGTTCCTTGCTAACGCTTAACTCAAAATATTTGGATACATTTAATATCATTCTGTAGCTCTTTTCAAATTCTACAGTATCCATTTTGAAGTATAATTTTGATATTTTTCAAAGATTTAAATTTCAAAATGTAGATCTTTTAAATTTTCACAATATAGACCACACTTAAAACACTTCTAGAAGGTTTTAGTGCGGATTTGATTAAAATACGCTCTAGTAGACTACAAGAGTGCCTTGCACTATGAGCTTAATTACCTCGGTTTCTATTAAAGATATCAAGAAGTTGTCAACTAACAAAATATTGGTGATATAATGATTAAAAATTTATCAGTTGACTGATTTCTGATATCTTCTATAGTAACTGAGCTACGCGTTCACAAGGCTTGTCTCCCAAACTATTTGGCTGTTCATCTGGTTTAAAGGAGGCCAGACACCAAAAAAAAAGTTTTCCTGATATTTCGTATAGAGAACCCCCATGAGGGGTTGAACTCATGACAGGCAGATCAGGGGTACAGCGCCGCTACCGGCTGAGCTACGGGGGCGCGAAGGCGCCTGACGACCGATGGTCTACATAAGCGCGGCTCGATTTCGGCACCCGAACTGCCCCCGAAATTTTTGCTGTCTCGCCTCCTTTAAGACGAAATCATGAACATTATATCCAAAATTTTCGACAAATTGTTCAAAATAAAAAGCCCCATAATTTCTGAAAAATTCGAAACAGCAAAAAAATAAAACTCACCCGGATTAAACCCCTTCTTGATATGATTCGGCGATCCCCATTCCGTCGAAATCATGATATTTCGTCTCGGCTGATACCAAAAATCATAATTAAACGGAACAACCTTCCCATCCGCTGGCCATGTTCCTTTTGGTTCAAAAGTTTTGCCATCCAGGAGTAAGAAATTTCCAGATGGGGATCCATCGGCTTCTCCAAGGGTACTTATCATAATATTTCCATCGGCCAAACAGTGAGAAGTATGGGGGAAGGAGAGGTTGAGAGCGTGGAGTTTCGATGGTTCAATTGTGTGTTGGAGGTAGATTTCGCGTTCGTTTTCAACGTTGATGACGTAGATACGATCGGAGTTGAGGCAGGGAACGATTAGGTGGGATCTGTAAAAGGCGATGTATTTTTTTCCTTATTTTCACGATTCTTGCAATCGTAAATAAATAAATAAATAAACTCATCGGAGATGTATTGCCTGAGCAGATATTGTCCAAACTCATAGGATTTATAAAACCGTAGATTTTTTTTTAAATTCTCATGATAGGCTACCTAATTGGAAGAAGTTGAATTTGAACTTCTAAGAGTGCTGTGGTACAGCTACGCAGTTGCAAAGTTGAGCCTTTATACCGGGTGCTACGCGGTTGCGAATTTGGCTGTACCCTACATACACTGTGACTCGTACTAGCACACTGTCACCTTTGAGCCAATTTATCTCATTTCCTGTTAAAAAAATTTGAAAACGATAAACGGATAAAATAATGCTGATATTATGATAAACAACTTATCAGTTGGCAACTTTTTGACATCTTTTACAAGAGCCGAAATGAATTGACTCAAAGTTAAGAGTTAGATAGATCCTTCTATTGGAGTGTTTACGGTTGGAAAGATAAGCGCTGCATGATCTCAGAGGTAGATTTTTTCAAACTCATAGAATCCGTGAAACCGTGGATTTTTTTTTATTCTCATGATAAGCTACCAAGTTGTAAGAGGTTGAATTTGAACTTCTAAGAGTGCCGTGGTACAAGCTACGCAGTAAGTTGACTGTAGCCTTTAACTGAGAGTTAAGGAGATCCTTCTATTAGAATATTTGACAACAATAATCCTAATGTAAGAGGAAGGTATGGTCCCAACTCCTAGGATTTATGAAACCGAAATTTTTTAAGTCTCATGTTTCAATTAAGAAATTGAACTCAAAAAGCGCCGTGCAGCTACGCGGTCGCAAACTCAGCGTTGAACATTTTCAAGCTAAATCAAGAAAAGCGAATAAACATTGAAAAGAAGTCTTCAATATGAAGCAGGAAAAAAAATTTCAGAAAATATCAATTCGGTCATCCAACCGTATTTCTTAAGACCCATTTTCGAGCCATGTTATCTCATTTCCTATAAAAGATATCAAAAAATAACCAACTGACAAAATGTTTAACATGTTATCGAAAAATGTTTTATCAGTTAACCATTTTTTGATATCTTTCACAAGAACCGAGATAAATTTAGTTGAAGCTAGAAGGTAAGCAGAAGGACCCTCCCCCACAAGGAGCGTCTACTTTGACCCAAGTTATCATGCTTTCTGCACTAGTTATCAAAAATTATCAACTAACAAAATTCTCATAATATTAAAAGAAACAGTTTGTTAGTTGACAACTTTCTGATATTTTTGAAAGTTGACAACATCACAGGATTATTCCTACCTCTTCTCAGTCGGTTTATCATGACAGGATGAGCAAGCGTTCCAGCCAGTATGATGAACTTCGTCTCCAATGTTTGGAACATCCACTCGACTGATTATCTGTAACAAACGAATTTAAGGAACATATTGTTTGATTGTGTGGATGATGTAACAAAATGGGGGTGTGGCGACAGTGAAAAAAATTTTGTGGTCGCTTTGAACCAAAATTTTCCTGTTTCAGGAACTAGGTATATATGAAGCTATTTGCGCAAGTCATTAAGATACTACTATACAACTGTAAAAAATTAGTTTGAAAAAGTTATCAAGAACGGGGCGATTGGCGGCTGATGGATTCTTTGAAGCATAACTTGCTTCAAACTTGACATTTTCCAAAAATTCAAATTGCAAAATGTAGATCTTGAAAATTTCTACAAAATGATATAACACCCTGAACACTTCTAAAAGACATTAGTTGTGAAATATGTAGAATAACAACCTATACCCCCTTTTAACTAGTAAGTTTTAAACAACTAAATTTCAAATTCTGCTGTTTCACGATCTTCAAATTTACCTGGTATCGTGAACGCAAATCATTCATCTTTCTTTATTTTCCAGAAATATAATCATCAAAATCGTCTTACCTGACAAAACGTCTCACTCTCCGGATTCACATTTACCGTAAATATGGCATCAGGTCCATCTCGGGCGTGTGGAGCGGTCACAAATAGAACTTCTTCTCTGGGACCTTTAATGGCATCCGCAGGGGATGCGTAGCCAGGACCTCCGTGACATTTTAATGGGCACGGCATATCTGGAAGTTATCCGAAAATGAATATAGTTATAGGAAAGAAGATAGTTAGAGAAAGATATGAAGCAGAGAAAAATGTAATAAAACAAGCCGTTTTACCATAAAACGGCGATATCCAGGGTATACCAGCACTTCGAGCTCAAATATCTCAGTTCAGTAAGAGCTATCAGAATTATGTCAACTGATAAAATGTTTGTCTTATTGTCACCAATATTTCATCAGTTGACCACTTTTTGTTATCTTTTATAGAAACAGAGATAATTAAGCTGCAATAGCGAAGTTCTAGAACGAGGGGCATTTTTGAACACAACCCCTATGGAAGACGAAAAACCAAAAACACCGACTAACCACAATGAAATAGATAAGATACCTCTATATATGGACAGTTCGATTTTCTTATCATATCTATTTTTCTCTAATTCTCTGTTCTGGTGTATTTTGTATCTATTTTTGTGGCGTATGTGAGTTTATCGAGAATAGATTCTAGGGGTTGCAAAGATACAAAGATGAGAAGGTGATTTCTGTGATAAAGAATGCTATCGTTTGGATTTTGTAATCTAGTTGCTTATCAAGAAAAGCAAGTAAAAGTTGGAGAGAAGTCTTTAAGATGAAACAGGACAAAAATCGGAATATCGTTTCGACTGACCCACCAATGAAAGGCTCTATTCCGTCCCAAGTTATCCCGGTTACTATAGGAGATATCAAAAAGAAAATAAGTTGATGAATATTGCTGGTGTTGTGATAAAAATTGTGTTAGTTGATATCTTTCACAGGAACCGATATAGATCGAATGGAAGTTAGAAGATGCAGCAGCTGGACAGAAGGCCTCTCATGTAGCGTCTTATTTAATCCGAGTTATCTCGGTTCCTGTAAAAGATATTTGAAAACGGTCAACTAACAAAATGTAACTGATATGATGATAAACATTTTATCAGTGGACAATTTTTCTCTAACAGGGGCCGAGATAAATTGAGTTGAAGCTAGAAGGTCCACCTAAACAGAAGGACCGACCACGTAACGTCTATTTTAATCGAATCTATTAGGTTGGCGGGAAAGTCTTTGTCACTTTTTCAATAGTTTATTTCTCAAAGAAAAAATAACCGAATAATTAATTATATTGTCCATCATTATCAACACATGTCTCCAACGTTCCCTCAATTTATGGATTCCATTGCGGTAGAATCCAGCCGGGCGTGAGGCAAAGTATTGTTTGAGTGCCGCTTCGACCGCTCCACAGGAATTGAAGCTTCTTCCTTCGAAGGCACGTGTCATATCGCCAAATAACCAATAGTCGGAAGGAGCAAGATCAGGAGAATACGGGGGGTGAGGGAGAACATTCCATCCATATCCCATCAGCTCCTGCTTCACTTGTTTCGAAACATGTGGGCGAGCGTTATCATGTTGATAGTACACTTTCTTGTCTTTCAGGGCCGAACGGTCGACTGCTTTCTTGAGGTTTCGTAGTTGAGTAGTGTAGAGGTCTCCAGTTATTGTTTTGCCCTCGGGCAGAAGTTCCCAGTAGATGGGGCCGTCCACTCCCCACCACACAGAGAGCATAACTTTTTTCGGATGAAGGTCGGGTTTGGGGACATCCTGTGGGCTCTCTCCTTCTCCAACCCACTGGGATTTCCTGTGGTGATTATCGTAGAAGACCCACTTCTCATCTCCGGTTATTAGCCGGTCCAGCCATCGATCGCCCGCGTGGAGAGTGAGAAGAGTAATCGAATCGTCGACTCGGCGGTCAAGGTTGGCTTGAGTCAGGTGATGAGGTATGAATCGACCAAAAAGTTTTCTCATTCCAAGAGACTTCAAACCTTCAAGGACTGTGCTATGGTGAACTCCGAATGTGACAGCTAGTTCACGGCTAGATTGAAATGGATCCGATTGCAATGCGTGCTTCAGCTTGTCCAAATCCAACTCACGGGGTCACCCAGAGCGATCCTTTTCATCGAGCGAGAAGTCATCTTTTTCGAAACGATGGAACCAATTGCGAATAGTATTGTAGTGGGGGGCATGTGTGTTGTACACATTCTTCAAGAAAGTTTCCGAATCCTTCATCGTGGTGTGAGATAGGAAGAGGTAAATCAAAACATGTCTGATGTGAATAGCAGTGGGAACAAACATATCGTTTCAATTACAGATGAGGAGCAGGGAAGGAGATGGGGACTTGTTTATATGGAAGGTTCTTATCACCTTGTTATTCACTAGAGTCGATATCATACACAGCCTCCATATACGAGAACAGTGATTAAACAAACAGAGTGACAAAGACTTTCCCGCCAACCTAATATCTCGGTTTCTGAAAGAGGAATCAAAAATCTAATAATTAAAATTGGAATTTCTGTTTGATTTAAAAAGTAAAATGTAGAAATTGACAATATCTACAAAGTGACATAAACTTTGACAGTATTCAAAATCTGAGTTTTGAGCCCACCACCGCAGACGAGCTGATGCTACCTTTCGCCGATGTTTCACGGTTTCTGGCTTAAAACTCGATACTTTACTATAGTCAAATCTTATTTCATTTTGTGAATTTCGTTAAGACCTACATTTTATTATTGAGATTGTTTAGAAATTCCAATTTTGTGCCGATTTATGTGCTATTTTAATTTGCAATCTGTATTTTCCAGCACATAATCATACCCATGTACTACAACGCATCGTTCCTCAAACTTCGATTCATGGAAATATCAGGAGACACAGAAGAGTTGGACACTGGAAGATATGTTCTACAAATGACGGTTCATGCAGACCTACAGTATTCCTCTATAATTGCTTTGCTGAATTTAGATAAAAATTTATTTTTAAACGTTGTTCTCCCTGCCACAGGAATCCAAACTTTCGATGAAGATCACAAAACAACAGCTCGAATACGGACAGGTGATAATTTCGTCAAAAATAAGACAGGTGAAATATAACCGAAAAGCTATGGGCTCAATTTATTCACACTCATGAATTCTACTGGATACTTTGACTCTCCCGAGTTTTTATCACGGGTTCTCCATATAAATACAATTATTTCCACACCAATTCATCTATTCGGCTTCTATTGTATTATTTGGAGAACTCCATCGGCTATGAAGTCAGCAAAAGTGTATCTGGTGAATTTGCACCTCTGGATTGTTTTGTTCGATTATTCGTTGAGTCTATTAACCATCCCGTTTTTGCTAATACCGCATATTGCTGGTTATCCCCTGGGGGTGTTGAGTTGGTTTGATGTATCAGTCTTGTTTCAGATTAATATGATGTTCTTTTTTGTTGCGAGTGAGGAGTCATTCATGATTTTCATTAACATCCGATTTTTTTTTGTTTTTTTTGTGATTTTAACGTATGTGGGACCTGAAATGAGCTATACCAGTAGTCTGAATTAGTCCGAATTTCGGTCTAAAAGGATCTAATTTTGGTCTATAATAGCTTGAAATCAGCCCAAAATTAGTCTCAAAAGGTCCAAATTTCTGTCTGAAATGATTCGAAATCGGCCCAAAATCAGCTTAAAATTGTTCAAAGTTAGTCTACACTGCCTGAAAATGGTCTGAAAC